AGTAATTCATTCCCCATATAGTAATTCATCCCCCATATAGTAATTCATCCCCCATAGTAATTCATTCCCCATATAGTAATTCATCCCCCATAGTAATTCATCCCCCATACAGTAATTCATCCCCCATAGTAATTCATCCCCCATATAGTAATTCATCCCCCATAGTAATTCATCCCCCATAGTAATTCATCCCCCATATAGTAATTCATCCCCCATAGTAATTGCCCATATAGTAATTCATCCCCCATATAGTAATTCATCCCCCATAGTAATTCATCCCCCATATAGTAATTCATCCCCATATAGTAATTCATCCCCCATATAGTAATTCATCCCCCATAGTAATTCATCCCCCATATAGTAATTCATCCCCCACAGTAATTCATTCCCCATATAGTAGTTCATCCCCCATATAGTAATTCATCCCCCATATAGTAATTCATCCCCCATAGTAATTCATTCCCCATATAGTTTTATCCCCCATAGTAATTCATCCCCCATACAGTAATTCATCCCCCATAGTAATTCATCCCCCATATAGTAATTCATCCCCCATAGTAATTCATCCCCCATAGTAATTCATCCCCCATATAGTAATTCATCCCCCATAGTAATTAATCGCCCATATAGTAATTCATCCCCCATATAGCAATTCATCCCCCATAGTAATTAATCCCCCATATAGTAATTCATCCCCCATAGTAATTCATCCCCCATATAGTAATTCATCCCCCCTATAGTAATTCATTCCCCATATTGTGTCAATTCACTTACCTTTGCACCGCGCGTTCCTCTCGCCGTGTTCCCCCGCGCCGTTCCGGTCTTCAGGGCGGACTGTGAGAGGAGAGGAGTTTGTCACGCTGCCCCGCCTACATCCTGACAGCCAATGTTTGCCACGCTCCACGGGCCGGATTAAAAGGTCTGTCGGGCCGTATGCGGGCCGTAGTTTGCCCATTGCTGGGCTAGCTGCAGAGTCCTGACTTTTGGGGCGGCCGCCCGAGAGGAGGGAGGGGAGCGGGCGCCCGGCACACAGAAGAGCCGCATTAATGTGTGTAAAGAGCCGCATGTGGCTCGCGAGCCGTGGCTTGCCGACCACTGCTCTAGGGCAGTGGTCGGCAAGCCGCGGCTCGCGAGCCACATGCGGCTCTTTACACGCTTTAATGCGGCTCTTGTGTGCCGGCGCCCGCTCCCCTCCCTCCTCTCGGGCGGCAGGGACTCTGCAGCGTGATCCAAAAAAAAAACAGCCAGGGCAGCGCACTCAAATGCAATGATTGGCCAGTCTCGCTGCCACTCACATCCTGATAGCTAGGCTCCTCTCACAGTCTGCCCTGAAGACCGGAACAGCGTGGGAACACGGCGAGAGGAACGCGTGGAGCAAAGGTAAATGAATTGACACAGGGGGGACTTGGCTTACTACTTGCTACTTACTTACTACTACTATATGAGGGATGAATTACTATAGGGGGGATGAATTACTATGGGGGATGAATTACTATATGGGGGATGAATTACTATAGGGGGGATGAATTACTATAGGGGGGATGAATTACTATATGGGGGAATGAATTACTATAGGGGGATGAATTACTATGGGGGATGAATTACTATAGGGGGGATGAATTACTATGGGGGATGAATTACTATATGGGGGATGAATTACTATAGGGGGGATGAATTACTATAGGGGATGATGAATTACTATGGGGGATGAATTACTATATGGGGGATTAATTACTATATGGGGGATGAATTACTATATGGGGGAATTACTATGAATTACTATATGGGGGATGAATTACTATGGGGGATGAATTACTATATGGGGGATTTACTATATGGGGGATAAATTACTATGGGGGATGAATTACTATAAAAACTTATTGAAACTAAAAACAGTGTACCATCCTATGTATTTTCAGTTTTAAAAATGTGGCTCTCAAAATAAATTTCAATCGTGGTTTTGGCGAGATTTGGCTCAGTTGAAAAAAAAGGTTGCCCACACCACTGATCTAGGGTAAACAAGATTGACAGAGGCTGTCTTAGATTGTTAAATTCCTTGAATGCAGGGACTGATGTGACTGTAAATACCTGTAAAAAATAATACCTGAAAGAGGAGCAAAATGTTATCCTTTACCAGAAATGTGCTTTGTGTTGCCATCTGTGCACATTAGAGAGATATCCCAACACTTCCTGCTAACACTTGTCACCTGAATTGTATGTAAGAGTAGGTAGGTTCTAACCTTTACCCCTTTTGTAAAAAAGAAACAATTGCAAGTGTTGAGTGTTAAACAATACTTAGACACCTTTCCCATCCTCCCTCTTTAGGAAAATACTTTTGTTAATTCATATTTTGCACTCTTAATGGGAAATGAATAAACATCCGGCTTTCTTCAGAATTCTTAGTTTTGTTGGTTTGTTTTACAGAAATGTGCAACTTATTGCATTTTTCTGTTTGTTACATTTGGCAGGTAATTCAGCTTTTAATATAAAAACTAAAGCAGGGAAACATGCAATATTTATTTATGTTTATAATATCTGTTACAGCTTTTCATGCTTTATCTGAAATACAGAATGACTGCCATTCCTGCTTGTTTCTTTAGGAACTAAGCTGTGCTTAGTGAGATCTATATGGCCCCAAGGGATAGGGTCCTGCAGTAGGTTTATTTGCACTGTGAAACAAGTATCAGGCAGGACAATTTATAAACTAGGCCAAAAGTCTGCCTCTGGTATAATCTCACTGCAGGCTGGATTGGAATCGGCATTTAAATTCTGACATGGTAACATACGGCGACACTTGCCTTCTGCTAATGCTTTATGACAGATAACATTAAAGCGGTATTAAATGCAAAACCAAAAATGTAATATATTGCAGCTTACCAATCAGTAAATGTGGTGGCTGCATTTGTTTTCTTTTTTCTTAGGCTTTCTTTCCCTTTGTTTTCCCCTGGTGGTCTGGCCAGTAACACACCACCTGTATTAGAGCCCCCACTCTGGACGAAGGAGCACAGGGGGCACCTTTGGACAGCAGCATTGTCAGTCTGTAGGGAGGGGAGTGTTAGATGCAGATTTAGATACACCAAGAAATTGAAGGTGAACTCCTGCTAACACTTTATACAGCTGTTTTTTTTCCTTTTTGGATAAACGTTTTACATAAATAAACAGCTGATCATTGTAAGCACCCCTGTCAGTGGTAAATGGTTTGTCAACCCTGTAAACGCTATATATGCAGAACAGCTTGCTTTGTTGAAAAACAGCAGATTTACTGGCAGGATCACCAGGTGAAAATACAGGAAAGAAAGCCTAAAAAAGAAAACCAATGCTGCCATCATATCTCAAGATTGGTAAGCTGCAGCGCAATAAATGTTTGCTTTTGGGTTTAATACCGCTTTAGCGTGAGCAGTAAGCTGAATTAAAAGAATACATAAAAAATAAGTAATGTTGCATATTTGACATTAACTCCATGTGGTAGATTTACTAAAACTATAGAGTACAAAATCTGGTGCAGCTGTGCATGGTAGCCAATCAGCTTCTAACTTCAGCTTGTTCAATTAAGCTTTGACCAAAAAAACCTGGAAGCTCTCCAGTTCTAGCAAATCAAACCCAATATGACAATTATTTTCAATACCAGTAATAGAATAAATTAAAAATAATAAAGGTCAAAATAGAAAGGTAGACAGTAAAAATTGTAGTATTCCCTTACATTAGCAGTTAGTGAAGAGCCCACTTGGACTGGTGGTCAGTTGGAAATTGACCACCTTACATTGGCAGTCACTGGCAGAAAAGCTCTTACACTGGTGGTTATTGGGAGAAGGGCTGCATTATACTGGTGGTCTGTGGGAGAAGGGCCCCATTAAATTGGCGATCATTTGGAGAAAGGCCCCCTTACACTGGTGGTCACTGGGAGAAAGGCCCCAATTAGCTGGGGGTCACTGAGAGAAACATCCACATATATTAGTGATCATTGGGAAAAGGGTCCCATTAAATGATGTCAGTGGGAGAAGGATCCTATTAAATTGGTGGTCACTTGGAAGAATGCCCATTCCATATGTGGTTAGTGGGAAGAAAGATTCTTACATTGGTAGTTAGTGGGAAGAATGTTCTTTTCATCGGTGGCTAGTGGGAAAAAACCCTTTACAGGTAGCTAGAAAGATCATTAGTGTAAGTGGTAACTTATCTGAGGCAAAAAGTACTCAAAGCTCAATGGACCCCTAGCAATCTCTAGAGGAACCATCACTGAGAAAGGCTGCCTTAGAGCCACTTTTCTCTACACAATCAATAAGTTTGCTTCCTATCGCTTGCATTATTATTCATTATACAGTATCTGAGTACACAGTCCCTTCATTCCATCTCTACATATACTATAACTTGAAGGACTGTCACATGGACCAAGTCTGCTTGCTGAGTATTCTGCATGGTTGACAGTGTAATACTCGAACTAACAAATTTGTTTCATAATTCATGCCTGGTTTATTTGCAAATTGTATTTTTTTCATACCTATAAAGATCAGAATCCTGAGCTACAAATTAATTAATGGAAAAGGATTTATAATATAAAGTTCTTATTCCATAACTAACTAAAAGAGTAATTGATAAAACAAGGATTTGTCTTGGCCATAAATATGCATTCCAATGGAAGTGTTTTGTCGTGGAGACCTACGTATATACTCATTCAGAACCTCATTTCTCATAAACCCCTGAAGCTTCAATATATTTAAAAAATTAATAAAGATACTTTAATATAAAGAAACCAACTTGTAAATGATGTTCACACACCTTTCAAGCTTTGCTTAGTTTTTGGGTCTCTGGTTTTCTATGGAATATGGATCTTACGGAAAATGTTATTCTGTATTGTTCTGTGTGTGTGCAGTAGACCCAGCCACACTGATTACATCTGTAAACAGGAAATTAAAAGGCTTAACATAATGTATTTTGTATGATTTCAGGCTGAGTGAGACAAAATTTAATTTCCGGGGGGATCAGAAGGGAAGGGATAATTAATCATGAATGACGTGGCTCAAAAGACTGAGGTAGGTACAATAAATTTACCAAACATGAAAATGGATGTGTAATAATAATTTAAAGTAGCATTTTCACTTTTTTTAAAATTACTGCATTCATTTTCTTTCAGGAACTGATGTATAACAAATCACTGAAATGTTACTAACCATAACTGAAATGAACTTCTAAAGAATGCACAGTTTAGACCAGTGGTCTTCAAACTGAAAACCAGGGGCCAGAAGCAGCCCGTTGCCTGTCTTTATCTGGCTTTTGGGGCACTATTCCTCCCATCGACACCAACAATGGGTCACTATTCTTTCCTCTGATACCCACAATGGAGCACTGTTCCTCCCATTCCCACTATTTCTTCCACTGACACCAATAATTTCTGCCACTGACACCAACGATGGGGCACTATTCCTTCCACTGATACCAACAATGGGGCAATACTCCTCCCATTCCTATTATTTCTTACACTGACACCAATAATTCCTGCCACTGACATCACTGATAGGGCACTATTCATCCCACTGATACCAACAATGAGGCATTATTCCTCCCAATGACACAGACGATTGGATACTATTCCTACTAATGTCACCAATCATGGGGCACTATTTCTTCCATTGCCCCTAACAATGAGGCACTATTCCTTCCCCTAACACCAAAGATGGGGCACTATACTTCCCACTGATGCCAGGACATTTTCTTCTCCCATTGGCTACAGTTCAGACCCCCAAATCTGGCCTTTCGTTTACAAAGTTTGGAGACCCCTGGTCCAGACCGATCTGTATATGACATGCTTGGTTGATTTACTATTTTAGCTATGCATGGGGGTTGATTTACTAAAGGCAAATAGACTGGGCATTTTGCAAGTGCAGTTTCACTTATTTCCACCTGGCCTAGTGAATGTGGTGAAGCTCTGCTGATTTCCATCATCCAATCATGTGCAAGCATATACTGTTTTTTTTTTTGCACCTGATTGGATATTCTGTAGAAAGTGAAGCTTCACCACATTCACTAAGCTCTGGGGAAAATTAGTGCAACTGCACTGCAAAGAGCACAGTCTATTTGCCTTTAGTAAATCAACCCCCATACATAGCTTTTATTTCTAATGCTATCACAATGCTCTGAACCATGCCATAGAATTGTGTGCAGATTCATTGCAGGTAAGGCATAAGTGTGTACATGATGAATTATTTACATTGCTGGTTTATACATAGCAATACTATGGCATTTTCTGCTATATTCTGTATATATGTACATTTCCAAACAGTAGTTATTTGCCTGAGGGCATTTTAAAATCTGTATAAAGAGAGAAATGAAATAAAATGTGAGAAATAGGTCTGGTATTACCACACTCTAAAATACAATAAAATAATTACAAAAGGTTTGTAAGGGGCCTACTACCCTTACTGTACACTATCACTTGTGACTTCCCTTTTCGTTCCACTACTATGAAGTTAGAACCATTGTGTAGAAGGCAAAGCCCAGTAAAATCCCTCCGACACTGGTAGTCTTCTTAGATCAACCAAGGTTGTCCAATCTGTCCCTGGCATGGGTCCCTGGTCAAATTCTCAGACATAGCGCCTATGTGTCCCAAGTCAAACACCGCTTTCCAGTGAGTGAGTGAACAAGTGCCCACAAGCTGTACATTGTCAACCCTGGAAAATGCCAGCAACCAACCCCACCAGTCTTGTTCCCAGGCCTTGTCTGGTATCTTGTTTCTTCAGTATTTGTTCAACTCTTTTCTTGCCCCCCAAGGGGATTAGTCACGCTCCCCCAAATGGGAGCCATAATCCAAACCACTTACATATTTGTACAGTCCCTCTCTCTCAAAGTTGAGTGAGGAAGTGCTCCTCCTCACTTTGTCCCTCTACCGCGCAAGCTCCTGGCTCCACATATATTCTGGACCCAGGTAAATTTGACAACACTCCCATAGGCACTCCCATAGCAATGACCATGGTGGAACCATCTCTAAAAAGACCTTACAGGCTAAGTGCAAAGTGCAGTACCCAAAAAAACTCAAGTCCATCTAGTCCAATTTCAGTCATGTGAATTCTGATTGGTTACTGTAGATCACTGCTCTTTGCACTTTGTTGTTTGTTCCTTGCTTTGTTTACTTCTAATGACAGCTGAAGAAGCAGCTTGGATAAGCATTTTTATTACAAAACTAGTTCAGCTCAATTTGACTAACTACTTCTAGCTACTCCAAACTATACTTCTCACTTTAGGAGGCAGCTAGTGTTTAAAGGGTTCAGGATAACTGAAACAATGACTTCTACAGGATACTATGAGGTAGTGCATGTTGCGATAAAATAACACAACACTCTTCCAGGATAGACGTTTATCTTTCCAGCATATTTTCCATTCTCATGGAGTTGTTTTTTTCCATCTGCATCTCAATTTATCATCCAGCTGATATGTCCTGGGCTTAAAGAAAAACATTAAAGCTGAACTCCAGGTATAGGGAAGCTGACAATCACTGAAGCAGTTGATGCTACTACAGAAATTGCCATGATCTTCCGAGTCCTGTGCCAAGTGACATCCCCTCTGCACATTGCTTGGCAAGGCCGCCATTCACAAAACATCTCGTATTTTGTTTAAATAAATAAAAGGTATTCTCTGATTGAATGAGGTGGAAATCATGATGTCACCACCCCACCTCTCCAATTAGAGAACACTCTGTATTCATCCCTCATCCCCTTTATCGATATGTTAAGGAAATTAATAATTAAAAGCAGCTTTATTTACATACCTTATTCTAGACCCAGTGATGCCATTTCTGGGTCTCTGTGCAAAACAGGCAGATAATGCCCAGTGGGTGAAGCTGTGCATAACTACCTGGAAACACAAGCATGCCGCAGGTAATTCCCACATGTAATAATGAGCCTCTATGATTGAAAGAACTGAAATGCAGATAATGAAAGGGGAGGTTCCAGTTCAGCTTGGAGGAAAACGCTAAATGACGCTGAACAACCTCAAACAGGAAATGAGGTAGGCTGTCTCACTTGCTAGGGCTTCTAATGTGCAGTTAGAAGCTCACAGTGTGCAGTGCAATCAGAGTAAACAATTTCAGTACAGGAGAGGAGCCGGTACAACTGTGTAAGACTGAGGGGAAGGTTGGAACCCAACCTTAAGCAGAGTTGTAGTATAAAAGCACAGGCCCTGCTACACACTCACTTCTACTATCCATCTTCTGTCTTCTAATCTGTCACGCTTTTCTGACTTTTCCTGTTTTTCTCATCTTCAAGATCCTGCTCTCTACAGCTAAGCCTGTCCAAAAATGCTACGTTCCCAGGCTTGAAAAGGGAGATGTAATGAACAAGTTTGAAGCCATGCAGAAAGCCAGAGAGGAGAGGAGCCAAAGGAAAACCACAGATGAGAGACAGCGGAGGAAAGAGCAATATAAACAGAGAGAGAATCTGGAACAAAAGGAAGCAAGAGGTTCTCTGTCCAGATAATTCACCCTTACATTAGTGTATTTAGATGCATTAGATATCATTCATTTGGCCATAGGACAAAGCACAAGAGTGCAGCTCAACTGCTTTTATGCAGGTGACAGAAATCCAATAAGTTCATTTTATTTTGGGAGGGGGGTTACATTAACATATAGTACCTGTAATAATAAATAATATTTAATTACACTAACTTCTTGCTGCCTAGACCAGCCTTTCTCTGCCTTTTTAACAGGTTGCCTCCCAGCCACAGTACATTTACTGTGACAGGGTGGTTTGGGAAGGCTGGATTACGTACATCATCCAGCCTGTTCTAGGTTAGGGGTGTGCAGCACTCCGCTCCTGTGACTGCTGCGTCCAAGCGGACACAGCGGATTACAATGACTGGTAACTAGGTATCATGAGATCATTATAACTGGTCATAGCAATCACACGATTACAATGTAAACAAACAGTCATGAATGGTTTCCTGGCTACTTCTACCATGTGATAAGTTGTAGCCAATCACAGTATGTCAATAACTAAGCTGTCATGAATGTTAACCCATTTATGACAGCTAAAACTATTGCTTGTAACAGTGAACTTCACTGTTATAAGCAGAGTGTAAAAAAAACCCCAAAAAAAACAAAACAAAATCCCCAATCGCCTTCGCAGAGTAGTACAGTGTCACTATGGTGACACTAAACTACTCTGATGACAGGATGTAAAAAAAAAGTTAAAGAAAATAAATAGTTTAAAAATTGAATTAAAAATTATTAAAAAAATGTTTTACATACTGTCACTAGTCTGTATCCCTGATCACCAGGGGAAAAAAAATGTATTTAATTTCTTACATTCTTAATTCTCCTACAAAGTACCTCACCCTGTCTACTTTCCAAAGAAGGATCATTTGGGGGAGTGTTTGTACTTTCTTGGTATTTTAGGGCCTCATTGAGGTCGTTAGTACATCAGGATTGATCTATTTTCAAATACAGGTGAAACTCAAAAAATTAGAATATTGTGCAAAAGTTAATTTATTTCAGTAATGCAACTTAAAAGGTGAAACTAATATATGAGATAGACTCATTACATGCAAAGCAAGATAGTTCAAGCCGTGATTTGTCATAATTGTGATGATTATGGCTTACAGCTCATGAAAACCCCAATCTCAAAAAATTAGAATATTGTGAAAAGGTGCAATATTCTCGGCTCAAAGTGTCCCACTCTAATCAGCTAATTAAGCCATAACACCTGCAAAGGGTTCCTGAGCCTTTAAATGGTCTCTCAGTCTGGTTCAGTAGGAATCACAATCATGGGAAAGACTGCAGACCTGACAGTTGTGCAGAAAACCACCATTGACACCCTCCATAAGGAGGGAAAGCCTCAAAAGGTAATTGCAAAAGAAGTTGGATGTTCCCAAAGTGTTGTATCAAAGCACATTAATAGAAAGTTATGTGGAAGGGAAAAGTGTGGAAGAAAAAGGTGCACAAGCAGCAGGGATGACCGCAGCCTGGAGAGGATTGTCTGAAAAAGGCCATTCAAAAGTGTTGGGGACTTTCACAAGGAGTGGACTGAGGCTGGAGTCAGTGCATCAAGAGCTGCCACACACAGATGGATCCTGGACATGGGCTTCAAATGTCGTATTCCTCTTGTCAAGCCGCTCCTGAACAACAAACAACATCAGAAGCGTTTCACCTGCGCTAAAGAAAAACAGACCTGGTCTGTTGCTCAGTGGTCCAAAGTCCTCTTTTCTGATGAGAGCATCTCATTTGGAAACCAAGGACCCAGAGTATGGAGGAAGAATGGAGAGGCACACACTGCAAGATGCTTGAAGTCCAGTGTGAAGTATCCACAGTCTGTGTTGATTTGGGGAGCCATGTCATCTGCTGGTGTTGGTCCGCTGTGCTTCATTAAGTCCAGGGACAACGCAGCCTTCGACCAGGAGATTTTGGAGCACTTCATGATTCCTTCCGCAGACGAGCTTTATGGGGATGCTGACTTCATTTTCCAGCAGGACTTGGCACCTGCCCACACTGCCAAAAGCACCAAAACCTGGTTCAATGACCGTGGGATCACTGTGCTTGATTGGCCAGCAAACTCGCCTGACCTGAACCCCATTGAGAATCTATGGGGCATTGCCAAGAGAAAGATGAGGGACATGAGACTGAACAATACAGAAGAGCTGAAGGCCGCAATTGAAGCATCCTGGTCTTTCATAACACCTCAGCAGTGCCACAGGCTGATAGCTTCCATGCCACGCTGCATTGAGGAAGTAATTGCTGCAAAAGGGGCCAAAACCAAGTATGCATGCTTATACTTTCAGAGGTCCGATATTGTTCTATGTACAATCCTTGTTTTATTGATTGCATGTAATATTCTGAGTCTATCTCATATATTAATTTCACCTTTTAAGTTGCATTACTGAAATAAATGAACTTTTGCACGATATTCTAATTTTTCCAGTTTTACCTGTATATATTACAAACCAATACTCTATAGCTCCCTTCTGAAAAGTCAAACTTTCACCCTTGAAAGTGCAAACAACAAACACCTTTTCAATAATCCAATGTAACCCTCTCCCACAATCTCATATACATAAATATAAATGTAAATGTCCACACCTCAATCCAAAAATATAAAATTGTGTAATAAAGTCCAAAAATAGAAAAATAAAATGGAAAGTAAAGTCCAAATAAATAACAATAGTCCTTTTGTGTGTAAAACATCCAAAGAATATCCAAAAATATCCAAAAATATCCAGAATCTTCCTACTCAATCCAAACGATCCTCAAAGAACGAAAAATAATATAGTGCATTATCCTTAATACATATTATTGTGAAATGATATCATGCAATCACATCAGTGATCAGGATAGATAAACGAATAAGTGATGGTGAAATCACCTCAATCCTGTGCTCTTAGTGAGAGAACACTGCATAAGTGAGAATAGAACCACACAGTGTAATCTCTAAATATTAACAACCGTGACATAAGTGTCAAAGCAGTGCCACACTCTGTAAAGGGATATGGTTGCAATTACCCTCTTGTTGTTTAAATAGAGGACATATAAAATACTTAAATCCCCAAGGTAGCCTTCCTGCGAGGTGCGTCTTCCTCCCAGGAATAGACAGTGGGGTCCCTTTTTCTTCCAAGGTCAAATCCCTCAAAGAGACCACGGTCCCCGTATCTCTCGGGTGGAAAATAGGAGCAAACTCAGTGGAGTGTCATAAAAGTACACTTTAATTAGGTAGACTCACATTTCAGTTAATACCGTCCATCTCCCCTCCGTTCGTTCGTTCGTACACAGAAACAAAAATGGCCGCGCTGCTCCTTCCGGCTGCAGCGTCTGAGCGTCTGACGTCACGACTCTGACGCGTTTCGTCACTTCCGACTTTTTCACAAGGGATCCCTTGTGAAAAAGTCGGAAGTGACGAAACGCGTCAGGGTCGTGACGTCAGACGCTGCAGCCGGAAGGAGCAGCGCGGCCATTTTTGTTTCTGTGTACGAACGAACGGAGGGGGAGATGGACGGTATTAACTGAAATGTGAGTCTACCTAATTAAAGTGTACTTTTATGACACTCCACTGAGTTTGCTCCTATTTTCCACCCGAGAGATACGGGGACCGTGGTCTCTTTTGAGGGATTTGACCTTGGAAGAAAAAGGGACCCCACTGTCTATTCCTGGGAGGAAGACGCACCTCGCAGGAAGGCTACCTTGGGGATTTAAGTATTTTATATGTCCTCTATTTAAACAACAAGAGGGTAATTGCAACCATATCCCTTTACAGAGTGTGGCACTGCTTTGACACTTATGTCACGGTTGTTAATATTTAGATTACACTGTGTGGTTCTATTCTCACTTATGCAGTGTTCTCTCACTAAGAGCACAGGATTGAGGTGATTTCACCATCACTTATTCGTTTATCTATCCTGATCACTGATGTGATTGCATGATATCATTTCACAATAATATGTATTAAGGATAATGCACTATATTATTTTTCGTTCTTTGAGGATCGTTTGGATTGAGTAGGAAGATTCTGGATATTTTTGGATATTTTTGGATATTTTTGGATATTCTTTGGATGTTTTACACACAAAAGGACTATTGTTATTTATTTGGACTTTACTTTCCATTTTATTTTTCTATTTTTGGACTTTATTACACAATTTTTATATTTTTGGATTGAGGTGTGGACATTTACATTTATATTTATGTATATGAGATTGTGGGAGAGGGTTACATTGGATTATTGAAAAGGTGTTACCTGTATATATACCATAGTTTGTAAATGCTGTAACTTTTGAACAAAGTAATTAATACATGTTTATTGGGATTTGTTTTTTTTTTTACCAAAGACGTGTATTAGAATACATTTTGGCCTAAATTTATAACAGAAAGTAGAGAACATAGTTTTTTGGGTTTTTTTTTTTTCTAAATTTTAGGTCTTTTTTGTTTATTCATGAAGGTGGTAAAACCTTTCAGAGGTCAAATGGTTAATGTGGAGGAACCCTTAATATATCTTTTCGGGCTCAAGGAACCCCTGGTAATAATCACTGTATCCACAGCTTACTGTACATTAGTGTGATGGTCAGTGGGAAGACTGATCCTTGCATTAGTGGTTATTGGGAAGAATTCCCTTTTACAGATAGCAAACAAGATAATTGTTTTCAGGGGTTACTCAACTGAGAGGCAGAGGTTGGATGAACCCTAGTTGAGAAAGGCTGACCTAGACTATGGCTATCACTATCACCAATGATAATACACAGTGTCTTCATCAATCAGTGTAAAACATACAATAAAGAGTGAAAATCCCATGGGCACTTTCCACGCAGCTGGCAAGCATGGACATTCTTCTACGTTGCTCATTAGCAATGAGTGTCTTGCTTGTAGCACCTTCCAATCAGCGGTTTGAAGTGCAGCTTGGAAGCTGTCAGTGCTGCTGGGCTTTCTTCATAGCATTCCTTTAGTTTTCAGCACAAACTATGTCACACTAGTGCACTAAGAGTTTGAAAACCCATTAAGATGGAGTATGTTTTCTGTAGATGGCAAAAGAGATGTGGCCAAGTAAAAACCTCAGGGAGCTCAAGAGCACAACTTTTAACAGCTGATTGGTTGGGTTTGAACAGGACACTACCAATGGACAGCAGCAGGGAAGACAGACACCAGGGGCAGACTGACCATTCGAGCACTCAGGCACTGCCCGAGGGCTCAGGGTCAGCAGGGAGCCCCATGAGATGCCCCTGGTACCTTTAATTGGCTTTTTTTTAGGCTTTTTTTGGGTATGGGTGATGACACGGGGCCCCATGATCCCCTATTGCCTGGGGGGCCCATGATTGTCAGTACGCCCCTGACAGACACAGTGAGGTATTTTAAGAAGGCCCCCATTTATTTCCCATGATGGGTGTACTATAAGCTGCAATGCCAAGTGTCTATGGGTGCACTCACACTGGGCAAGGTTGAATTGAACCATGCCTGAATTTGATTGTCCCCCTCTCCCCATTGGTCTGCACTTACATTGGACTATAAGCAAGTGTTCCTGGGCATACTTACATCAACACCTCTGCCAACCAGATGGCAGTGACTCCCACTTCTGTGCTCAGTCATCTATGGAGAGTTTTGTGCTCTGGCATGGTTTGCAAACCATATCAGACCACGTGTAAACTGTTCCTGGGACCACCTCTTCCAAGTAGTCCTGGGCATGGTATGGTTAATCTTCCTAGCCATGGTTCAGGGCACTCACACTACACAAATGAACCAGGCTAAAGGAGTGAACCGTGCCCAGTTAAATTTGCCAGTATGTGTTCACCCTAAAATATCTTTTCCTGCTTGCCTTTACAGGTATTTATTCAATACCTAAACTTGGATATCAGTCAGCCTATGCAGGGAACCCCTGTATCTATCATTGCATCATACTTTTGCATTTTAATTTCTGTCTTTCACTAAACTATTAGTTTACGAATACTCAAATAGAGTTAAGAGATTATATTTAGCACATTTTCTATTTCAATGGTTTTTATTACTTTTTTAAACAGTATAATATTTAGCACATTTTAATGGTACTGTTGTTCAGTTCTACAATACAAGGACAATCTTGGAGACAAACTCATTATTGGAAACAAATTTCTAAAAGCTAAATTCCAATTTAGGGACTGTCACTGGAAATCAAGGACCAATTACCATTATTGTATATACTGTTTTCTTGTGTCATAGTCTCCTCTGCAAAACATTTTTCAGCATCAAAAAATTACAATTTAGATACAGTGGGGTTCATTTACTAATGGCACATAGGCTGTTCACTTTGCAAAAGGAAGCTGAACTTTGCAAGGAAATTTTCTCTAGAGCTTAGTGAATGTGAAATGTTACTTTGCAAAGAATACCCAATCACTTGCAAGGAACATAAAAACAAAACATTTTTGCTTTAACATGATTGGATGATGTAAGTCAAAAGAGCTTCACCCCATTCACTAAGCTCTGAGGAAATTCCACCTGCCAAGTGGACAGTGTATTTGTCTTTAGTAAATAAGCCCCTGTATCTGCAAGGTAACATTTTATTTCTGCACTCAGTAAAGCAAGTTGTCTTTTCCAATGGTCCAGATGAAAGAACTTCTAGCTTCTGATGATGAAGAAGATAAACCGAAACAGGCAGAAAAGGGATATGTTCCAAAACTCACAGGTAAGTGATACAAATAAATCATAAATTAAAATGTATTTTCTTTGTTGCTACTACTCTTACAAATTCAAGTTTCAACTGATGTGATTCTAATGCCCCCTTGTGGTCACACACAACTAATACACCGATGTTTATGACAAGCATAGTGGATACATAGATGCATGAAAAAACATATCCTTAACCACTAGCCTACAGGGCACTTATACCCCCTTCCTGCCCAGGCCAATTCCCAGCTTTCAGCGCTGTCGCACTTTGAGTGACAATTGCACGGTCATGCAACACTGTACTCATATGAAATTTTGATATTTTTTTTTTGTGACAGATAGAGCTTTATTTTGGTGGTATTTAATCACCTCTGAGTTTTTTATTTTTTCTTAAACAAACCAAAAACCACTGAAAATTTTGAAAAAAAAAGTTTTTCCTTAGTTTTTGTTATAAAATTTTGTAAATAAGTGATTTTTCTCCTTCACTGATGTGCGCTAATGAGGCTGCAGTGATGGGCACTGATAGGCTGCACTGATGAGGCTCTGGTAGGTGGCACTGATGGGCATTGACAGGCATCACTGATGGGCACTGATAGGCAGCACCGATACATGGCACTGATAGGCGGCACTGATAGGCAGCACTGACTGGCACTGTTAGGCGGTACTGACTGGCACAGATAGGTGGCACTGATGCACACTGCTAGGTGGCACTGATTGGCATTGATAGGTGGCACTGACTGGCACTGATGGTTGACACTGAAAGGCAGCTCAGATGGGCACTGATATGTGGCATTGATGTGCACTGGCAGGCACTGATATGTGGCACTGATGAGCACTGATACAAGGCACTGATGGACACTGACAGGTGGCACTGCTGGGGCTACACTGATCATCAGGGCACACTGATCAACAGTGCCCTGATGATCAGTGTACATGTCCTCTCCGCAGAAAGCAGATTACCGGCTCTCCTCTCCTCACGAGCTGTCAGAGTGACAGCTCGAGGAGAGAAATGCCGATAACTGGCATTTCCCTGTTTACATGTGATCAGCTGTGATTGGACACAGCTGATCACATGACTGAGCCGACATCTTCAGCTCTCTCCATGATCGGTGATCTGCTGTGTCCGAGGGACACAGCGCACCGCCGATTACCGTGCGCCCCCTGAGATGCGCATGCGCGGTGAGAATAAGAGGACGTCATATGACGTCCTCCAGAACGAGAGAACCACCTAGCGTCCGTCATATTACTATATGGCGGGCAGGAGGTGGTTAAAGGATACGTTCACCTTTAAAATAAAATGTACATTTGTTCATGCAAAAAAATTAGCATTTACTGTGTTTTTTTTTCTTGTATTTTTAGGCGCCTGGAAAGCATTGTATCAGCAGATCACTGGTGTCATGCAGATCTCCTGCAGACCGTCAGTGTATCTGTCTGCTCGTACAACGTACAAGCAAGCAGTTTCACACTGACAGGTAGAATCAATGAACTACCACAGCGCTCAACAAAGCATGGTTGTTCATTGAGAACTACAAGCCGACGGCTGCAAAGGATGTCGGTCCTTGTAGTTTTCACATTCTGAGAAGTCTGTTAATGAATGATGCGGCCATGAGAGTGGAGCCTCTCACAGCTGCACTCTTTTCAAAAAGTGACAGCTGGGACAGGGAACTTCACCCCGTACTGCTGTCACAGGTAGATGGAATCAGTGAGCAGCTGCAGGAGTGGGAACAGGTTACATGCTCCACCCAAAAAATGAGTGGAACATGTAACATATTCCTGAAGGTTAACTTATCCTTTAAAAATGCTTTAAAGCAATAGTGAACTGCAAAAAAAAACCCCAAAAAAACAAAGAACAAAATTGGCCCCATGCAGGATAATGTCATACCAGCACATTATGACAGACTTACCTTAAAACAGATCCCTCCAGTGGTGCACTGTCACTTTGGGCTTCCATCTTTCACACCCGGTCTTCTTTGCAAATCCCTGGTCATTTTAATAGCTGAGCTGTGATTATGTCATTCCACTCAGGAGTCATGGCCCACGGCATAGCTCTCTCAATTGACGGCAAGCCGGTGACACCACCGGCTGGTACACATTGGAATTTCTCCTAAACAATGCGCGTTCAGGAGATATTCACTGTATCTATAGGTAAGCCTTATTATAGGGTTACCTGCAGATACAAGAGTGGAGTTTACTACTGCTTTAATACACTATCAATGGGGTAGTATGGAAAATACACTATATTGCCAAACGTATTGGGCTCGCCCTCCAAATCATTGTATTCAGGTTCCAGGCCCCTCCATGGCCACAGGTGTATAAACTTAAGCACCTAGGCATGCAGACTGCTTCTACAAACATTTGTGAAAGAATGGGTCGCTTTCAGGAGCTCAGTGACTCCAAGCGTGGTCCCGTGATAGGTTGCTACCTGTGCAATAAGTCCATCCGTGACATTTTCCTATTACTAAATATTCCAAGTTGAACTGTTAGTGGTATTATAACAAAGTGGAAGCAACTGGGAACAACAGCAACTCAGCCATGAAGTGGTAGGCCACGTAAAATGACAGAGCGTGGGTCAACGCATGCTTAAGCACAAAGTGCTAACTGTCTGCAGAGTCAATAGCTAAAGACTTCCCAACTTTGTGTGTCCTTCAGATTAGCACAACAGTGCGTAGAGAGCCTCATAGAATGGGTTTCTATGGCCGAGCAGCTTCATCCAAGCCTTACATCACCAAGTGCCATGCAAAGTGTTGGATGCAGTGGTGTAAAGCACACTGCCACTGGACTCTAGAGCAGTGGAGACATGTTCTCTGGAGGGACAGATCACAGTTCTCTGGCAATCTGATGGACGTGTCTGGGTTTGGCGGTTGCCAGAACGGTACTTGCATGACTGCGTTGTGCCAAGTATAAAGTTTGGTGGAGGGGGGATTATGATGTGGGGTTGTTTTTCACGGGTTGGGCTTGGCTCCTTAGTTCCAGTGAAGGGAATCCTTAAGGCGTCAGCATACCAAGACATTTTGGACAATTTAATGCTCCCAACTTTGTGGGAACAGTTTGGGGATGACCGCTTCCTGTTCCAACAAGACTGCTCACCAGTGCACAAAGCAAGGTCCATAAAGATATGAAAGAGTGAGTTTGGGGTGGAGGAACTTGACTGGCCTGCACAGAGTCCTGACCTCAGCCAGATAGAACACCTTTGGGATGAATTAGAGCGGAGACTGCGAGCCAGGCCTTCTCGTCCACATCAATGACTGACCTCACAAATGTGCTTCTGGAAGAATGGTCAAACCTTCCCATAGACACCCTCCTAAACCTTGTGGATGGCCTTCCCAGAAGAGTTAAAGCTGTTATAGCTGCAAAGGGTGGGCCAACTCATTATTGAACCCTACGGACTAAGACTGGATGCCATTAATGTTCATGTGCATGTAAAGGCATTTGTCCCAATACTTTTGGCTATATAGTGTATATTTAAAGGTTCTTTTGTCCTGGTAGCCATTAAGAGGTATCATGGGAGTTTGGGAATATAGCATGGAGTTTATGTGGCATTAAGGACCACCTGGTATGAAGTTTAACTGCTGTTTCCCAGACAGTGAGATAGAGTGAACTTCTGAACAAGATATTCAACTTTATTTGCAATTGCGTTCATTTTCCCCGTTCATTTTCCCAGGCATACATAGGTGCAGTTTTCTCCAGCTGTTGTGCAGCATTTATTAAGTGTCCATTCACATGTGGAACTGCGGCCCGACCCGGCCCCCGCTCTCTTCTCTTTGGCTCACTGACTGTAATCTGGGATGACATAAAGTTTATGTGCGTGTAAAGGCAGGCCGACCAATACTCTTGGCAATATACTGTATGTTTTGGCTTGGAAAGTATATTCTGTTATCACATTTTTTTAAAGGGAAGTATCATTACAAAAATATATGAGATTTTATTTCCAGACTCTTCTGCTGAAAATGCTAGTCACCCAACTGTTATACTGAATCTTTGACCAGGAATAAGTTTGATGAACAATTCTTACTTCACTCTATGTAGACATGTAGAGAGTCTGCCAGTTTAAAACCACTGAGGCAACAGGATCAACATGGCAGGCAGACAGCTAGCACGTTCATAAATAAGTCATCGGTTCAAGTCTACATATTCCATTCATGAAAGGTTAACTTTAATAAAAGGCTCATGGGAAAGAATACAGAAGCAGCAGCTTCAACATGTTCATTGAGCCATAGCAGCTCTGGCCCCTAGAGATCTTCTTACCTGTTATCTTCTGTTTAAAGCATATGCTCAGACAAAATGTATTTATCTATTTAAAAATAGAGTAGGGAAAGTTAGGAACTCTTGTGGGTTTTTGCTGCTATCTGGGACTCTGTTAGAAAGATTGTACCTGACCTACTGTTCTTGTGAGGGAAAATCTCCAACATGGATGCAAATAGGAATAAAAGTTGGTGGGGTTCTAGCCTTTTGCCTATTTTCCAAAAAAAAAAAAAGATTTGGATGGACATAGTGGTATGCTATGTCATAGTGGTATGGTTTTGCCTCCTTCGACAGTCCCTTGAATATTCTTTTCTTCCTGAAAAACAACTGTTGGATGGAAACCAAAGCTTGCAACAGTTTGAGACTCCTAACCCAATCAGCTATTTCTGTTCAGGTACAGTTAAAGGGAAATTTGCAGAGATGGAGAAACAAAGACAAGATGAGGAAAGGAAAAGAATGGAGGAGGAGAGAAAAAGGAGGCTTGAACAAGACCTAAAGGAGAAAAGAAAGATTCAGCGTGAACTGGCCAAGAGAGCCGAACAGGTATGGCTCCAATACTCAAACATGCACTTGTTCAAAGTGCTGACAGCAGTTCCTGGGTACAAACATGCAGAATGTATTACTATGCCTTTTGTCCTAGTTTGTCTGTACTATGCCTACTGTACACCGAATTCATGGATTACTTGCTGCAATGTAGATGCTGGAAATTCTTACATAAAGGCTTAGCTAGAACTAATCGTCTATCTAATTGTTTACAAATTAAGTCTACAGCTGACATTTAGTAGTTTTAAGCTTGTTTTGCAGCTTGCAACAATGCATGTTTAACACTGTTCAAAGTGGGGAAAAGAGGCAAGAAAGCTCAATGTCACAATGTCAACAATGTACAAGTATGCTTGTTAATCATTGGAAAAGTGTTTTTTTTTTTTTTTTTTTTATGCCAAGTGGCCTCCATCACAGATGTTCTTTCTCCAAGCTTTCACTACCAGAACATGTGCAGAAAAGCATCAATAAAAATACAACAATCTGTTTTTCTTGCAGAGAAAATGCCCTATGAAAACAAATAATGGCTACCCTTTAACTTGATTTCCTTTGATTTATTTGTACACATGTATACATGCTAAAGTGACCCTTACTGAAGTGTCTCAGACATTTATGATAAAAGGATAAAAAAACCAAAAACAATCGTAGAACGTTGGCCGTTTGTAGTTTTATTTTTGAATAGCTATACAGATCTGTAATCTTTAATTTCAGGAGTTATTTTGAATTTTGGGGATTTTAAATGACCGAATTATATTTTTTTCCAGTGCACCTGAGATCTTGAGCTGTTCAGAAGAGATTATTTTTGAGGAAGAAAAAAAAAAAATATTTTTCTTATTTTTTTAGGAGATAAGCAGCAGGGTTTGACACTTTAAAATTCTCATTTAATAGATTGAGGACATTAACTGTACGGAAAGTGACTCGGACATGGAGGTAAAAAGATATTTATTCAATTAAAAAAATCCTTTCTTCCTTTGTTACTCTTCCTATTTTTCCACTCTCTTCACTAACACTTACTGGATAAGGAAATAGCGTGTTTTTTTTAAACTCACATAATAATGTACTGGTGACCTATATTATTATTATACAGTATTTATATAGTGCCAACAGTTTACACAGCAGGCAGTACAATTTACAATACAATTCAATACAGGAAAAATCAGAAGGCCCTGCTTGTTACAGTTTACAATCTAAGACCATGTCTACAATTTAATTTCAAAGAACTGTGTTAATGTGACATAGTAGATCCAAATAACAACATTAAAATGATGTCACTTGCTCCTAATTTTAAAATGTAGATTCTTCTAAATAACTGCACAATCCACAAATTAGCTACCTCTGTGGTGCATGGACTACAGGCATTACAAAAGGTATAGCTGCAGGAAATATTGTTTTTTTTTCTGCCTTCGTATTGAGTGTTAATTATACAAGATAAAATAAGTACGAAAGTTTCTCATATTTTTTCAGTACCAAATTAGTCTACTTAAAGAAGTGATGAAAACTGGTCAAATCACAGATCTTCAAGATTTATACCAGTCGTTTACTGAACTTGGTTCCTTGATGAAGATGCTCTGACAAGGAGGTCATCTTGCTCCATAATAACTCTTCCTGTATCATCTAAACTTACATTCTTTTGTTTTCAGAGTTGAATTTGTCAACTTAGAGATTTCCTCTTAGCAAAAACAGTGGTCTTAAAACAAATCCACTAACCAAGAAGAATGTTTATTTCAAACAGGAAGGAACTGAAGAAGATGAAGTTGCGGTCACGCCTGTAAAGGCAGTTAGATCTCCTGGAAAAATAAATATTAATTTTGAAGATTTGGAAAAAGAGAGAGAAGAGGAAGAAAAGAACAGACGTGAAGAAGAAAAAAAGAGAAGATATGATGAACATAGGAGGTCATTCAGAGAAGCTAAGAGACGTTCCTCTGCCATGGTAATGGTTAGCTATATTGGCAGTGTTCTAGCTTTTGTCAATTGATAGACCATAAAATTGGGTTTAAATTGAGAGGGTCACATCTACATAGGGGTCATATCTACATAGCCACGTGTTGCAGGCAGTAATTCCAAAGCAAAGTACCAAGAAGAGAAATGTCTCATGTGTTTAGGTTGTTTTCATTGATGGATAATAAACATAACCATGGTTATATGGTATTTGTGGTTGCTCCTGATACTTTTGTTAGCGATCAATACTCCAAAAAAATTTCCCAACTTAATAAAGCACATCTTATTTTCTAAGGATGATACAGAAACCCAAGACAAGAAGAGCAAAGAACAAATAACACCTGGTAAACTCAAATTAACCTTTGAGGAGATAGAAAAGCAGAGGCAGGAACAACAGAAAAAGCTAACAGAAGAAGAGGCTCGTCTGCGGTTAGAGGAGGAGAGGCGGGCCTTTGAAGAAGCAAGGCAACATGTGGTAAAGAAAATGGCATGGTTTTGGTCTTCGGATACTTTATTTATTAGAAGAATTTTGTTAACAAATCATTTTATGGTATAAAGTTCTGGGCATATAAGGGAAGAGGATTTCAACCTGTGTCATCTTCAAAGCTTAGAGCTAGTCCACTGAAATACAATGCCCACATTGCTCCATATTTTGACACTTTTACCTCTACCTTATGATAATGGCTTGGGGTCTGTTTCAAGGAGTATAGTAAGATTCACAAATAGCCTTGATAATAAACACGTTTGTTAATTTTTTCTTCTCTCACACAGAAAGATAAAAGGGTAATTATCCATAGTGTTTAGCTTTGTAGTCATTTGGATTTCCTTTGGTCCTTCAAGTTTCCATGTAAGAATCTGAGATGTTGCTGTGAAGCTCAACAAGAAATATTTTTTGCTACAAAATGAAGACAACATAACTTTCTAGCATCTGTTTTCCAAAAGGTCAGTGATGACGATGAAGAACAAGACAACACACACAAAGACGACTTCCGTCCAGGAAAACTGAAGTTGAGTTTTGAGGAATTAGAGAAACAAAGAAAGGAGGAGGAGAGGATAAGAGCAGAGGAGGAGGCGAGAAGGAGGATAGCAGAAGAAAAGAGAGCATTTGCGGAAGCAAGGAAAAGCATGGTAGAGTAGAAAAATATTTTCAGTTTGAACTATGATGGGGAAAGGCAGCTGATCATTGTGACAGAAATAATCAATAGCTAATTTTTTTCAGTTCTCCAATATTTTACAAAGTGAGTGCATCTTTTTTTATCATTGTTTTTAGTAGTCGTATGATACGAAATATGTATAGCAGATGAGCTTGAGGTAAGGAGCTTGGCGTTAACTAGAAGTTTTTACATGCTTTCATTTGAACAAACCATATTTAGTCAAATTATTAAAAATGACAGAATTCTGATATATTTAACTGCAGAATATTGCCGCATTTTTTCTTTTTCTTTTATGAGTATATAAAATGGCTGCTTCAACAGTTATATGTCAATCATTTTGCTACAGTATTTCAGTGCATCATTAATTTGAAGCGCTTTCTGGTACTTGCACTTTGTAGATGGCTTGATACATCAAATAATGCCAGCTTGCAAATTACTTATGCACTTTAACTTGCTTTCCTTTTCTAAACTATAGACATTTTTTTAAATATTGATTTTTTTGGCTGCCTGGGGTTAAAACAAATTTTAATATCTTGCTGCATTTTATTAAAGCTGAACTGAACGCAAAAAGATACATATACAGATAAAATTACATATATCAAAGCTGCTGAATGGTTTGTATTTCTCATTCTCTGCATTCATTCAAAAGATGAACACAACCCTCCTCCCTTCCTATTAGCATGTTCCTTGTTAGCACAACTGACTGCTTATGCTGCTGCTCTCTCTTTCTGAGCTCTGCTATACAGATACCAAGATAAAAATTAAGTATTTACACCAATTTCTTTTCAAACTTACACCTAAAATTTAACTAAAGACAAGCTTTTTTTTTTGTTTCAGATAGAGTAGAGATGGACTAGAACACCTATACAGTTTTCACCGTCGTCTGTGCCCCCGCTAGGGAGATTCACCCTCTCTATTTTTCCTGTTTAACATTATAATGGTGAAAAGTAAACGAAAAACTCCAACTTTTGGGTTTTCCCCAAAAAACTAATAGAGGGGAAATTTTCCAATTGGGACACCGGTTCTGGTAATTTGGGGGTACCCAAGGAATTTTCTTATTTGTAGTGATTTCCTCTCACTTCCATTTTGGCTATAGGACAGGAAGTGAAGGTAAACCTCTCCAATGGGACACAGATGGCAAAAAATAAACTGATATGGGCTATACCCCTCCCTTACTGTATCCAAAATAAAAAAAAGCTTTTCCTAGTTTTATTTTAAGGCAGAACTCTAGTTTTTATTACTTTGCTGCCCTGCGTCTGTTAAAATAAAAAAGCATTTGCTTTAAAGCTCACCTTGAAACTTCTGCTCTGCCCTGCAGTACTTCGCCACTAGAAGTCCTCAGTCTCTCAGGTTATCAGCCTACTTCCTGTGAGCCCAGGCTGTCATCAAACTGAGCACTTCTCAGTCCAGATGGATGGACTGCCCCCTCTGTAGAATAAGAGGAAAGACCTGTGACATCATCAGACTGGCCTGATGACTGCGGGAAAAAAAGTTATGTATAAGGTTTTTTAAAAAATAAAACAACCGAGGGGAGGCAAACCTGGAGTTCCGCTTTATTATTTTTTTTAAATTAAAATATAACTTGCATTGATTTTTTTTGCCTTTGGTTCAGCTCTAAGTAAGCTTAATGTCAATATTTTGATATTGGCAGGAAGTTTCTCACATTTGAGTTGGCAAGCTAAAAGTTTGAAAAATGTTTAGGCAAGTAAACATGTTGCATTTACAGGCTTCCAATGAGGAGGAGGAGGAGGATGAAAATTTCAGACTGGAAATTACAAAGGAGCACAGCCAACCTGGAAAACTGAAATTAAGTTTTGAAGAACTGGAAAAGCAAAGAAGAGAAGAGGAGCATAGGAGAGCAGAGGAGGAATCCCGGAAGAGACTGGAAGAGGAGAGGAAGCAGTTTGCGGAGGCAAGGAAAAATATGGTACGTCTTCAACTAATTTGCCAGAATACTGCATGACCAAAATTCTAAAACAGGCTTAGAGACTGGGGGATGTGCGTACCTAAACTGTTATAGAATGTCCATAAAATTATAAAACTATTTTTTTACACTTTTTAAAAAAATCTTAACAGGTAACAAACTTTTGGAGCTGTACTGAAAAAAAAAGTCAGACAAAGGGCAAAGGGCTAGTCTCCAGTATTGACTGTGGTCTTCCTGCAGCTGCACTTTCCCTATTACTGACTACCAAGTCATTTGCTGCATTGGGGTTTATTTACTAAAGCTGGAGAGTCCAAAATCAGACTCCCTTCTGCATAGAAACCAATCAGCTTCTAACCTCAGCTTGTTCAATGAAGCTTTGGCAATGAAACCTGGAAGCTGATTGGTTTCTATGCAGAAGGGAGTCTGATTTTGGACTCTCCAGCTTTAGTAAATAAACCCCATTGTGTCCCTGTTTGAAGGTGGCGATCATGGTATAGGCAAGGCTTTGCTTTCTCATTTCAAATCCTCCAGCAGGGAGAATGGGAAGCAGCACATCTTCAAATCACTGAAAACCAGCAGACCAAAGTAGCAGTGCTTTAGTATTTCACTGCAGCTATACAGTTATTAGATTGCAGGCACAATACGAAGTGCACTGTTAACTTTCATGATAGAGTCAAGATAAAACATACATTTTTCAGGGTACTGCTAAGGCACAATTACCACTTCTAGTTCCCTGTAACATAGTAAACCATTTGACAAAGTCATACACAAAACAGTCTTGAAAGTTGTTTAACTGCTTCCTATCCGCCCTATAGCAGAAGTACTGCTACAGGGTGCGCAAAATTACGTATATATACAGTTGCAAGAAAAAGTATGTGAACCCCTTGGGATTACGTGGAGTTTTGCATGAATTGGGCATAAAATGTGCTCTGAACGTCATCTAAGTCACAACAATAGAAGAACACAGTCTGCTGAACATAATACTACACAAACATTAGATGTTGCCATGGTTTAATTGCACATAACATGTAAACATTCACAGTGCAGGGAGGAAAAAGTATGTGAACCTTTGGACTTAATAACTGGTTGACCCTCCTTTGGCAGAATAACCTCAACAAAACGTTTCCTGTAGTTGCAGATCAGACCTGCACAACGATCTGGAGTAATTTTGGACCACTCCTCTTCACAAAACTGTTTCAGTGTAGCAATATTCTTGGGATGTCTGGTGTGAATCGCTCTCTTAAGGTCATGCCACAGCATTTCAATCGGGTTGAGGTCAGGACTCTGACTGGGCCACTCCAGAAGGCATATTCTGTACTGTTGCAGCCATTGTTTTGTTGAATTACTTGTATGCTTTGGGTCATTGTCCTGTTGCATCACCCATCCTCTGCGGAGCTTCAGTTGGCGGACAGATGGTCGTACGTTTTCCTGCAAAATGTCTTGATGAACTCTGAAATTAATTTTCCCATCAATGACAACAATCCGTCCAGGCCCTGAGGCAGCAAAGCAGCCCCAAACCATGATGCTCCCTCCGCCATGTTTTACAGTGGGGATGTTTTAATGTTGGTGTGCTGTGCCTTTTTTTTTCTACACACATAGTGTTGTGTGTTCTTCCCAAACAACTCAATCTTGGTTTCATCTGTCCACAGTATATTTTGCCAGTAGTGCTGTGGAACATCCAGGTGCTCTTTTGCAAACTTCAAACGTGCTGCAATATTCTTTTTGGACAGCAATGGCTTCCTCCGTGGTGTCCTCCCATGTACTCCATTCTTGTTTAATGTTTTCCTTATTGTAGATGTGTCAACAAAAATGTTAGCATGTGCCAGAGATTTCTGTAGGTCTTTAGCTGACACTCTGGGATTCTTCTTTACCTCATGCAGCATTCTGCGCTGTGCTCTTGCAGTCATTTTTAAAGGATGACCACCTAGGGAGAGTAGCAACAGTGCTAAACTTTCTACATTTGTAGACAGTCTGTCTTACCGTGGACACATGAACATCAAGGCTTTTGGAGATACTTTTGTAACCCTTTCCAGCTTCATGCAAGTCAACAATTCTTGATCGTAGGTCTTCTGAGAGCTCTTTTCTGTGAGGCATGGTTCACATCAGACAGTGCTTCTTGAAACCAGTAAACCCAAAACAGGTGTGTGTTTTTTAAGGGCAGGACAGCTGTCAGCAACACATCCAATATCATCACACTGATTGGAGTCAAGGTTGGCTCACTCCTGGCTCCAATCAGCTCTGGGAGAAGTCATTAAGCTAGGGCCTCACATACTTTTTCCTCCCTGCACTGTGAATGTTTACATGTTATGTGCAATTAAACCATGGCAACATCTAATGTTTTGTGTAGTATTATGTTCAGCAGACTGTGTTCTTCTATTGTTGTGACTTAGATGACGTTCAGAGCACATTTTATGCCCAATTCATGCAAAACTCCACGTAATCCCAAGGGGTTCACATACTTTTTCTTGCAACTGTACATGATTTCGCATTTCCAGGTAGGGGGCGCGCGTGCCCTACCCGTGCCGCCATTCACGGCTGCGGCTGTCAATCACCGGGTCCCGGCCAGTGATTACTCGCCGGCGCCTGATGATTGCCGAGCATCTCCGACGGGGGAGAACTGTTTGTAAACAAAACAGTTCTCTCCCCTGTCAGCTCCTGCACACTGCTTTGCATGACTGTGCACTGATCACTGTGTTGGTGTCACTGGGGATGTCAGCGACACCAAGTCAGTTCCCCCAGTGTCAGAATGCCCATCGCAGTCCCGATATTAGTCGCTGACCGCCGCCATTACTAGCAGAAATAAAAAAAAAATCCCAGTATAAATATACCATTTGTAAACTTTCACATAATTAATTTACACGTATTGGTTTTTTTTTTTTAGCAAAGACATGTAGCAGAATAAATTCTGGCCTAAATTTATGACGAAATTAGATTTTTTAAATTTTTTTACTGGACATGTTTAAAAGAAAACAGTCAAAAATAGTTTTTTTCTCAAAATTGTTGCTCTTTTTTTTATAATGCAAAAATAAAAACCGCACAGGCGTTAAAATACCACAAAATGAAAGCTCAATTCATGGGAAAAAAGGACATAAATTTAATTTGGGTGTAGCGTTGCATGACCGCTCAATTGTCAGTTAAAGTAATGCAGCGCCGTAATGCAAAAAATGACCTGGTCAGGAAGGGGGGGGGGGGGGGGTAAATCCTCAGGAGGGCAAGTGGTTGCCCAGAGATAATGTTTACTAGGAATGGCAAACTAGCATTTTTGGGGCTACCTGCGACCCTTCATGAGGGTTCACATTTCGTAACATATTGCACCGATATTTAGGGTGTAACATGTTACAGATGCAGCAGCCCCCGTTCACCCCTCCCCCCAATTGTACCAGCAAGCGGGGGATCTTTCCCCACACTTCCTGTCACAATTTAAAAAACACGTGGCCTTCCGGGGCTTCTTCACCCACCGGCCATGCAATTCATTTATTTACAGAGTTCTGTGAATGGGAGAACTGCAAGTAGCAACAGCCTTTGCAGCTGTCGGCTTGTAGTTCTCAATGATCTACCACGGCGCTGTTGAGCACTCTGGGTAGTTCATTGATGCTTCCTGTTATTGTGTAACTGCTTGCTTATGCGAGGAATGAGCAGACAGCTACACTGAGAGTCTGCAAGAGTCCTGCATTGCACCTGCGATCTGCTGATCGCGGGTGCAATGATTTACAGCAGTGGTTCTCAACCTTCCTAATGCCGTGACCCTTTAATACAGTCCCTCATGTTGTAGTGACCCCCAACCATAAAATTATTTACCCAGTAATTATAATTCATGAGTGTCGTTATACCTCCAATACAGATGCTTTCAACACAGCAGCTGCTTTCAACACAGCAGCTGCTCTTTACACATCGGAAATATGTGTTTTCTCATGGTCTTAGGGGACCCCTGTGAAAGGGTCGCTCGACCCCCAAAGGGGTCACGACCCACAGGTTGAGAACCACTGATTTACAGGCTCCTAGTAAAAATAAATAAATAAATGCACTTTTTTTTTTTTTAACCTGCATAACGATATGCATTTATTATTTTTTTTTACAAAGGTGAACTTATCCTTTAAGTTCATAATTCTGGTGCTAACAATTGCACTGAGGAGGCAACAGCGCTTTTGGGTTCATCTCTTGCTCACGCAACGGATAGCCAAAATATAGTACGTTATTTCTACTATTCAATCAAGTTTGTATCATTTTAACATAGTGCAGAGGTGAATAACACCAATTGAAGGCAAAGATATCTCCCTAGCTGTTGCGTTGTCATTCTTGGCCAATGCCATCCAAGGACAAAGAATACATATGCAGCACATTATACTGTGCCAAATTGCTTAAAAAGTAATATTTCCAGAAGATTTGTAATGGAAGCCTTGACTGTAACCCCTTTACGCATCTAACATCATATAGGTAGGCCAGGCAAATTAATGCTATTTCTTGTTCCTATCAGGAGCCAGATGAAGACAACCTGCCACTCAGTAAAACAACATCTCAGGAGACACTTTCACCAGGTAAACTGGAAATAAACTTCGAAGAGCGCCTCAAACAGAAGATGAAAGAAGAGAAAAGATTAAAAGAAGAGGAAAAAAAACAAAAAGTTGGAACAAGAAAAACAAGAATTTGCTCAGCTACGGCAGGAGATGGGAGAGGTACACTACTTCTTAGCTATTAGTCCTAATTATACTATGAAGGCCTGTACCATTTTCCCAGTATTCACATCAGGACTCTTACACAAGGCAACACCAGACACCAATGAAAACAGAACTATGGCTTATAAAAACGTGCTGCAGTACATTTACAATTTTCTGTTAGTCTCCTTGAAAAGTCCCACAAATACTTAATTTTACAGACACCTAATATGGCTTCCTGTGATGGACACCCTCTAGTCTGTGCTGTCTTACACTACCATTGGAAGAAAAAAATGTTGCTGGGGTTTTGGCCTTCAGCATTGTTACTACTAATTCACACAACTGTAGCTTGTCAATCAGCACCTGGCCATACCTAGTGAAGCCCACTGCTTTCTGGATTGACATCACTGACTCCGACACCTTCCACTGTAGGCTACAATGTCTGGAAGGGGGGAGCATATGATGCACAAGGTTTGGAGTAGTCAGGCTTGTGTATTATATGGTAACTGGCTTTGGGACTTGTTTAGACTTTGGACAAAAACATTTACATGTACTTTAAGGCTCCATGTACACGGGACGTTTGCAAAACTCTTCTGAACGATGGAAACTGACTGCTGGAAAATGTAGGTTAAAAAACGTCTGTTTATCTGCGTTTGCATACCGCGTTTGTGAGCATTTGTATTTAGAAGCGTTTTTTTAAGATAAACTCAGGAGACCTTCCAAAATGCCCAGAAAAAATTAACTATTTCAGACACAGAAATAGAGAGAGCAGAAGCAGAGAGAGCAGTATGTGTTGAGATTAGCTGTCTTTTCTGGTTGTATTCACTATGGTTCCCATCATGAGCATAAAGCAGCACGTTCTACCATTTTTTCCTGCAAGCAAAACCTGGAACTGACTGTGCTGGTGTACCGGGCCCATTTGAAAACATGGAAAACGCTTTGCATGCATTTCTGATGATGAAAAATGGCTCTGGACAGCATTTATATAAGGAACAGTTAAAAAACGCTTCTAAATGCAAACGCTTATAAACACGGTTAGCCGCGTTTACACACGTTTACAAGCAGTTGAAACGCTGATAAAATCTACGCAAATTTGGTGCATTCAAAAAACGTCTGTAAGCTCAACGGCCTGTAAATGACGATGTGTACATGGACACATAGGAAAACAGGGAGAGTTCAGGGGCTGCTGAAAAAAAATGCAGAAAAGGTCCCGAACAAGAGTTTATCAGCTGCAATGCACAAGAACCCTAAAGCTCTGCTAGCTGAATATGAGAAAACAATACATTCATATGAACCTTTAATATATACTGACGTAGAAAAATAAGAACTTTAACTTACCTGTAAATTCATATTTTGGAATACAGTACAGAAAGCAGGGTGAGTATCCATAGACCCTAGGTTATAGGCTTGTATCTTCAGGTGATTTAACACTGGCAAGCTTTTTGGGGTCACACTCCCTGGACATCTTCCCTCTATAACTCTACCCCACTCCGTGTATCCTCAGTTTTGTAGCAAGCAATGCAGAGTAACACAGGAATAGAAGGGAGGGTGGCTTGTGTATTGTACTGCATTCTAAGATATGGAATTTACAGGCAAGTCAAACTTTCTTAATCGCACAGTACAGGCCACAGGCTGAGTATTTACAGACTCTGGGATGTCCCCAAGCAATGAAAGAGAAGGGCTAGCAACAACTAGGCAAACAGAAACTGTGCCAACAAGCCCATCAACAAGAGTCAACAGACCCAAATTCAGAGTGCGGATGCAACTTTGTGGCTAAAAGCTGCATCTGCAGAAGACTAATGTCTCCCTGGAAGAACTTTGAAAACACAGAGGACCAGGTAGCAGCCTTACAAAGTTCAGCAACTGAGGCCTGATGTTGGGAAACACCCACCGACCTGGTTGAGTGAGCGTATATATACTTATAAATAAGTGCAGAGTTTTGGCTTTTAGAGTGTAAGCTGTGGTGGTGAGTTAATTTATACATCTAGAGATGGTGGACTTGGAAGCAGGATGTCCCTTACAAGTTCCTGAGAGTAGGTAGAATAGGGAGTTTGTCATCCTGATGGAAGCTGTTGCTTTGAGGTAGACTCTGAAGGCTCTGACTAGGTCCAGGCAGTGAACAGCAAATTCCTTTTGGTGCTTTGGAAAATAGAACCATGTTCTCTTTGAGGTGGAAGACTGATACCAGCTTGGGAAGAAAAGATGGTCGGAGGTGTAAGACTACTTTTTTATGATGAATGAGGAATTGCTCCTTACAAGAGAGGTGCTAGCTCAGGGATATGTCTGGCAGATGTGATGAGTGGCAGAAGTACCTGTGGAAAAAGACTTTCAGTAGTAAATCTTATTGGAAATGGCTTTTCTTTCTTTTAGTAAAAGTATAAATAACAGAGACAGAGTCTGCTCTTTCTCTTAAGATCACAGCTTCAACAGCCAGGTCATTAAAGCCAGAGAGTTAGAAGCAGGATGGAGTATGAGGCCTTAGGACAGGTAAGGCCTGTTAAGAAGAGGCCAGGCATCAGCTCCTAGAAGTCTAAATATGTCTGTGTATTAGGCTCTTCTGGACCAGTTTGGTGCAATGAGAATAACCAGTTTCTTCTCTTGCTCTGAGCCGAGGTAACTTTTTTGTTGAATCTAGAGGCCACAATACTGTATCTACATCTGGGATTCCCCATCTCTGGCATATCAGGTTAAAAATGTCAAGTTGAAGGACCTTTTCCCTTGCTCCAGGTTAAGGTAATCCGCCTTCTAGTTGTCCACTCCTGGTATAGGAGACAGCAAAGATCACTGGACAGTATTTTCTCCATCCATGAGGTGATGTGGCTTACTTCCTTCAAGGGTGCATGACTCCTGGTGCCCCCTTGGCGATTAATGTAGGTTACAGCTGTTGCAATGCATGACTGCACTCTGATTGAGTGTCCCTGCAGAACTGGGGTCCAGTGTTCGCTCCGAGCTCTAGGATGTTGATGGGAAGTTTGACCACGTTCCCTGAACTGTGAGGGATTGGAATACTCCTCCCCAGCCTGAAATACTGGCATCTGTTACCACCTTCCAGTGATATGGCAGAGACAATGTCCTCATTGTTAAGGCTAGTAAATTCCTTGCTTGGCTGGATAGGAGCATGGGTAGGTTTAAAGAACATGCATGTTCCATATCAGCATGATGTTGTGTTGGGAGTGGACTCAAAGCAGGCTACCATGAGACCCAGAACTCTAATTGAAAATCTCACAGCGGGGTGTCTCTTTGACCTTAAGTCCTGAACATGAATTGTGAGACAGCATTTTGTTCTCTGGAAGGAAAACCTTTGCTTGGGCTATGTCTAGAATTAGGCCCAAGTATTCCAGACAAAGAGAATGTTACGGAGCAGATTTCTGATAGCTGATCACTCAGCCAAAAGTCTGAAGCATCTGAAATTTCTTGTGGACTTTTGCAGATAGCTGGATGGGAGATGAGTCCTTCAGAAGGATGCCATTCAGAGAAAACCTGTGCCCTGGAAGTTCTGAGTTCTTAGAAAGGCAAGAAGAGGTGCAAGAATTGTTGTGAATAATCTGGGGGGTAGAGGATAGGCCAAATGGCAGTGCAACAAACTAGAAGAGATATTCTAATGCAATGCATATAAAGCATTGATGATGTGAATAAATGGTAATAGGCAGATAGACATTTTGAAGTCTAGAGATGCCAAGTATTCCCTGTCTCAGAGAGGCAATAACTGACTTTGTGTATTTTATGTGAAATGTTGGAAAATAAAGGTATTTCCTTTAGGGATTTTAGGTCCAGGATAGGATGGATACCCTTGTTGGGCTTTGGTACTGTGAACAGGTTTAAATAGAATCCTTTAAACCTGTCCTCTAGAGGTACAGGAACTAATCGCTGGGACAAGAGATGGTTCAGGTAATGTTCAAATATGACTTTCTCTGGCAAGAATTTGGTTGATTTGAAAGAAGAAAGCAGTGAGGGGGCTGAGTTTTGAATTCTATTTTGTACCCCTTTGAAACTGCAGATTGAACCCTCTGCTCTGGGATGTCTGTAACCTACAGATCGGCAAATTTTAACAGATATCCTCCCACTCTTAGAAGTGAGGGCATCCCTTCACTTAGGAACAGGGCTTCGGGAAAGTCTTGATGGACTTTGTGGACAGTCTTGTGCAATAAGAAAGGCTTAGAAGTTGATGTTTGGGTTGAGCATTGAGGTGCTATGCGTTTTGAGGAATTTGAGGCTCCTGAGCAAGGGAATTTCTGAACTTTCCAATGTGATAGAACCTTTTCTCCTGCGACATCTTTAACCACTTGCTGACCGCCATACTTATGTATACAGCCTGCCAGCAAGTGGCTATACTAAGGTCATGGCTGCAGCTTTGATCTTGCTATCATTTTTCACAGCCGGCGATCTGCTGTCTAGTAAAAGTGGTCTGGGTGGCTCTACAGGCTCTAAGTAGGACCGCACTCCTATTTGAGTCTTGACATGTTTGGCATCTATTCACTTGGCACATCATCATCTTTTATATTTTGCCAAAAAATGGGTAGGATATTGTGTTTGTGTGCACTAAAATTAATTTTAGAGTATTTTTTTCCTGGCAATTTGTGTTTGATAAATAGCTGTGCAAGTATTTTGACATAAAAAAATTGTAACATTCACCATTTTATTCTTCAAGGTCTCTGCTTTCAAAAAATGTATAATGTCGGGGAGTTGTATTTTTTTTTTTAGCAGAAAAAGCTGACTTTAACGTGCAAAAAATTTAAAAAAATGCCCCAGACAGCAAGTGGTTAATGAATCTGTCATGTGCCTTAAAAAGATGTCCTCCTTCAAAGGGCATACATGTGATGTTTCTTTTACAGGCAGCTTCAGCTGACCAGGATTTGAGCCAAAATATTCTGTGCATGTGAATGGAAATCACGGCCATTCTGGAGATTTGTATCATAACTTTTTCTAGGGCATCCACACAAAGGAGCAGGGCAGTAGGTAACTGCACAGTTAAAGTACAGTCCTGGAATAAAGGATCGTGTTGGTTGTTCATTGCCCGAGTTTAGATAGCTGCAGTTGGGCAGGCAGAAATAGCTGCAATAGCTGGTTGCAGAGCTTGGCCTGAAAGTGTAAAGAGAGCTTTAAGAGTGTCTCAAACTTCCTACACACAGGCTCTTTTAATGAAGGAACATCTTCACTTGGAGCAGTGAGATATTTAAGACTGAGACAAGTGTCTACCACAGGAACAGACCACTTCTTTGTAAAGTCTTTTTTTCCCTGGATAGAGCTTGGCAATGATCTTTGGAGGGGTGAAAATCTTTTCTGGATTGACTCAATTATCAAACTACCCATTCTATTTGTTCGTGAATAGGGAAGGTCTTTTTAGAATCAGCAGGTCTCTTTGTACCCAAACAAGCAGAGGTTTCAAGTGCAACAATTCAGAGGCTTTTTTGCTTAGCAGAAGTGAGCATAACAGTACTCACAAGTCTATTGCATGAAATCAGGTGCATTGGAGCATAGGGGGGTAAGAAATCCTCCATGGCCTCCTCTAACACTGCTTCTGGGTCCTCTGTATTTCCCTTCTGTCTGCCTCTTCTAAGGTGGGCAGATCAGGATTTCATCAGGTAGACTGTGAAGCTGGAGAATTCTGCCATTATTGAGCCCTAATCAGTGATGGCTGTATTAAAGCTGGTAATTGTCAGAGGAATTGACATGTAGAAAAATCTGCCTTGGCCAAGTAGACCACTTGTTGCATGCTTTAGCTAGAATCAAATACAGAGGACAGTGTTAAAATCGGTTTCTGCTCTGGTGCAAGGGAAGCTTTGTCACTATGAGATTGTGTGGCCTCCTTCGGCAGAGCGTATGTTCACCTGAACTTTTGCAGTGACTCCTTTTCTCCTGGTTTCAACTACTACTACGGGTGAGGGTATTCTTGTGGGGTAGGGTTCAGAAATGGAGCAAGGTGGGTGCAGCCCACACAGAAACCAGTGCCTGCAGCAACATTACAGGCTGTCTCCATGGTGTGGGGTATGGTTCCCAAGGTTTTACTGATTCTGGATGCACTACTTCTATTATCGTATTAGAAGACAGCGAGGAGTTGAAGAATCCAAATAACAAATAATAAAGTAGTTAAAGTGTTACTAAACCCACAACAGTAACCTGTCTGTATATGCAGTAAAGTGTGCTCGTTATACTCACTGTGAAACATAAAGGGTTAATTCTTTGCATTGTGTAAAAGTGCACGTGATCCTGACTTCACTGATCCTCCCTTTTTCAGTGTCCCCCTCTTATCTCCTGATAAGACATAGTGTGTGGAGTCACTCTGCACATGCTCACTTTGGGTGTATATTACTAGTGGGTTTTTTTTTTGTTTGGGAGAGTGCATGTGACCAGCACAGGGCCAATCAGCACTGTCCAAACAGAGGTCAGGGGTTCTGCATCCTTTTAGAGCAGAATGAAAACTCCTCCTACAAGCTTTAACCAGTGCTCAGCTGGAAATCACAAGACTGCTCTGTCGATGAGAAAAGGTATTTAGCACTTTATATTTACTAAAATAATTGCACTTCCATGTTCTGTGTACTGTGGGGGACCAGATATAGTGAATGCAGGGTCCTGGGTTTGGTAACACTTTAAACAATTTTTCTCCATTAGGGAAAAGTTGTCTAGTACCTTGGGACACTAGGCAAAAACTGAGGACTCATGCAGTGGGGTAGGATTTTAAGGGGACATCCAGGGAGTGTGTCCTCAAAGCTTGTTCATGTCCAATCACCTTATTATACCAGCCTGTAACCCAGGGTCTATGAATAGTTAGCTTGTGTCCTATACTGTATGTGTAAGATTTAAAGGTGGTTTTAATCCTGAGAATATATGCAGATCAAACTACAAAGTCCCTTTAAGAAAGATAGTATTGTGTGGCAGGTGAATAGTAATGGGCCATGTGATGAACAAAGCCCTGGCATCAAATTGGACTTCCAAGCATATGTTCCAGATATGCACAGTACAAAAGGTAGTGCTGAGGTGGATGGCTCGATACACACAAGTACCTTGAATGTGAATTTCATCTGTCCATGTTTACATGTGCAGTTCCTTATCTGTATTACTCACACCAGCATTCCTTATTCATAATATTGTCAGTCATTCTGAATTTTACCCCACTGCAAGTATACCTGCATTACAGTAATGCATCACAATGTGTTTTTTTAATTAATCGTAGTGTGGTGGGCAACCCATTTAAACAGTTAATCTGCTCCAATGCAACTCATGTTGATGCACAGTATCATCAGGCTTGCTAGTTCTTAACACTGACAGTTTTTCTTTGTTCAACCAGTGCAGTGAACAAAGAAAAAACTGATTGATGTACCAACATAAGCAATTTTAGTGTGGCAATCTGTTACTTTAACGTTTTCTTTTTTTTATTCAGGAAGAAATAAATGAAAGCTATGAGGTATTAAGTAGAGAGTATGAAGAACTGATTAAACTAAAGAGGGCAGGATCCATTCAAGCCAAAAACTTAAAAAGTAAATTTGAAAAGATTGGAAAACTAACAGAAGAAGAAATACAGAAAAAGGTGGAAGAGGAAAGGTTAAGAAGAAAGGCTGAGGATGATGAACTGAAAGAAAGGGAAGCTGAACATTTTCATGAGGTCAGTTGGTTGTAGAGGATGTGGCTTGAAAACAAATCCATTATAAATCTGTGATAATGCTGCATTCTCATGACTATAGTTCTAGTTTACAAAGAAACAGTAGTCAAACGCTATTTCTGAGATATAAGAAGGTAACTTTATTCATGTTTCAGGATGAAGATGTTGATGTGAGGCCAGCGGTGAAGAGCCATGCCCCATTCTCACATAAGGTTAACATGAAGGCCCGGTTTGAACAAATGGCAAGAGCTAGGGAAGAGGAGGAACAGAGGCGAATCGAAGAACAAAAGCTCTTAAGAATGCAGTTTGAGCAGCAGGAAATTGATGCTGCTTTACAAAAGGTACCATAATTAAAAAAAAAAAAATATTGCAGAGGAACTGCAATATTTAAAAATCAATGTAAAGGAAATCTGTAGGCTGCCAAATGCTAATACTTTGGGCTTTAGCACTTGGATTCACGGACCCAGAACTATCAGTTCTGACCTTACCTGCTGCATAGCTCAAGGTCAACCATTCAAAGAATGGAAGCCACAAGATCAACATTTACATAAACTTTTAAAACTTGATAGTTCTTTTAATATTTCCAGCCATACCAAACAACTGGGCAAATATAATCTTACTGCTGGGTTTTTAAAGTTATCACCTACTTGGACTAGCGCATTGCAGATTACATTAAGACAGATTGGGGGAGGTTTACCCAAACTGGTGCAGCTGTGCATGGTAGCCAATCAGCTTCTAAATTCAGGTTGTTCAATTAAGGTTTGGCAATAAAACCTAGATGCTGATTGGTTGGCAGAAATGCATCAGATTTTGCACTCTCCAGTTTTGGTAAATAACCCCCATTGTGTCTGTACTATAGACAAGTACTGAAAACCAGGAAGGCATCCGGTCCACATGCCTGTCAGAATACATTCGCTTTACTAGGTACACTTTGCTAGTACCAAGAAAAGCTCCCCCACACCATTACTACACCACCACCAGCCTGAACCGTTGATGCAAGGCAGGATGGATCCATGCTTTCATGTTGTTTAGGCCAAATTCTGACCCTACCATCTGAATGTCGCAGCGACCAGTCTGCCCATTCTTCTCTGACATCAAGGCATTCTTTCCAATTCTTAAGCTCGGTTGGAACATCAATAAGTTGTCTTCACCATGTCTACGCACCTAAATTGCATTGCTGCCATGTGATTGGTTGATTAACAATTTGTGTTACCAAGCAATTGAATCTATGCGTTCAGTCGTATCCGACCCTTGGCGATTGCATGGACCGTCACTCGTAAGCGACTTTTTCCATGAATTCTCTTAGCAATTATTTTTACAGGGTAGGTTGCCTCTTTCCCCAAACCCTACTATGCAGGAGATCCCGCATGGCCGGGGATGAAACTAGGACAATTTTAGACAGGAGCCAAGCAATTGAATAGGTTTACCTAATAAAGTGGCCGGTGAGTGTATATTATACTGCAATCAGGCACTATAAATCAAACTACTGATAGCAATCTCTGCATTTGTTCAGCTAATTGCTGCCCATCCCATTGTGAATATTCAATGTGGGCATAGACAATTTCCTTAACCACCTGCCCTCCAGAGGATTTACCTCCCTTCCTGACCAGGCCATTTTTTGCGTTACAGCGCTGTGTTACTTTAACGGACAACTGCGCAGTCATGCAATGCTGCACCCAAATGAAATTTACGTCCTTTTTTTTCCCCACAAATGGAGCTCTCTTTTTGGTGGTATTTGATGGCCTGTGCTGTTTTTATTTTTTTGTCCTATAAACAAAAAAAGACCATCAATTTTGAGAACAAAAATGCTATGCAGAGCCATCCAAAGCAGTGTGCAGGAGCTAACGGGGGATCCATGTTGTTTATATACAGGTCTCTCCCCCATTGGAGATATTTGGCGATCACCGGGTACTGGCGGGTAAGCACTGGCCGGGACCTGCTGATTGACAGCCAAGGCTGCGAATGGCAGCGCAGGTATATATACGTGATTTGTGCGCACTCGTGCCGCCCTGTAACAGTATTTCTGCTACAGAAGCGGTTAAACATGCAGAAAATAAAACCAGCCTATCAAAATCATGGCCTAGACCCCTCTCCTGTGACCGACGTGTTATTGCTTTCTACCTATGTTAGCAAATAAGGAAATGTAAAGATGAAAGTGATACCAAAACTAAAAACATTTTTTTTTTTTAACCTTCACACATTCCTTGCATTAAGGCAGCGGTCAGCAATCTGTAGATCACAGCCTGGGCTTGCTGACCTGCCAGCCCAGAACATCAAACTGAGTGCAATGCAGAGGCACTACTTGTAAAGTTGAAGCTGTAGTAGGGAGCAAAAGCCGACTAAACCGATACCTCATTTGTAGTGCTGGCTCTTCTCCCATGCGGAGCAATACTCTACCTCTTATCCCGGCTTGCAGTCTCCAGCGTTGGAGCAGCAGGAACGTAGATCTTCAGGTCAGCGTGAAGCAATACACTGGGCATAATAGTATAAAGGGTGCTTTCACACAGATGCTTTGCGGTTTGCCTACACCATGGGTGCAGTGTAGCTGCAGCTTTCTGAGGGTTAGCTGCACTGACAATTCTATTATATCCTGCAGGTTTGGTACACTTTATAAAAGCACACCACACCTTCAGGATATAACAGAAGTCTATAGCAAAGCACAGCTAACCCAGGAAAGTCGCAGATGCACTGCAATGCAGGGAAACCACATGCACATCAGTATTAAAGCAGCCCAATAGGGAGCTCAAGGCAGTAAGGGTTCTTTTACAGTTGCAGTTTGGGGGGGGTAGTAAAATCCTACAGTTAAGATTTGTTTTGCTTCCCCTGCCCCACCCGCACCCCCTTTAGCTGCAGTGATCAGGGGTGTACACATTGCAGCAGGAGGTAAATGTCTTGTCATAGTTGGTGGGAGTAGCACATGCCAAACATGAACCATTCAAGAGAATGAGGCCTCTCTGCAAGTGCCCTGCAACCTTCTGTACTACAGCAAAAAAAGGGGTTAAAGCAGACAGCATTGTGTTGCTTTCTTAGTACCCGATTTAACCCCTGGGACCCCACAGAAGTATGCAGTTGCAGGGCACTTGCACAGTGGGCCCATTTACTGGGTCATGATTGGCAGGCAGTAGCACCCACTAAAAGCAACAGGCTGTTTAATTCCTGTTGTGTGCACCTTTGGCTGCTACCTCAGCAGCTAAGAGGGATAGGGAATGATTAAACAGTGACTCAACTGCAGGATTTTTCCACCCCCAGCTTTACATGTGAATGAGCCCTAAGGGTGCCTCTGCCAAATGCAAGGGTTCATTCACAAATGCAGCAGGCACTGCTGTTACTCTGGAAAGCGATCTGAATGTGTTTGACAGGTGGTGAGGAGGCGATGTGTTGCCTCCTCACCATCTGCTTTAAAACCATGATTGCCACGCTATTGCAATGTGCCCAGTGATTTTTGACTCCTACCACGCTGTTCAGGTAGATCTACACCTCTTTAACCACTTGCCACCTGCCCTAAAGTAGAAGTACTGCTACAGGGCAGCACAGCTGCACAAAATCTCACACACACACACACACACACATATATATATATATATGTGTATGTATGTGTGACTTGCATTTCCGGCTAGGGGGCGTGCGTGCCATGGCTGGGGATGTCAATCAACGGGTCTCGATGAGCTGATAGGGGAGAGACCTGTATGTGAACACAGGTCTCTCTCCTTTCAAGCATGGACATGCTGCTTTGTACAGTGCCTTGAAAAATTATTCATACCCCTTGAAATTTTCTATTTTGTCATGTTACAACCAAAAACAAACATTTTATGTGACAGACCAACACAGAGTTGCACATAATTGTGAAGTGGAGGGAAAATGATTTTCAACATCTTTTACAAATAAATATCTGAAGTGTGGCATGCATTTATTTTCAGCCCACTTTACTCTAGATACCCCTAACTAAAATCTAGTGGAGCCAATTGCCTTCAAAAGTCACCCAATTAGTAAATAGAGTCCACCTGTGTGTAATGTAATCTCAGTATAAATACAGGTGTTCTGTAAAGCCCTCAGGTTTGTTAGAGAACATTAGTAAACAAACAGCATCATGAAGGCCAAGGAACACACCCCAGACAAAGCAAGGATAAAGTTGTGGATAAGTTTAAAGCAGGGTTAGGTTATAAAAAAAAAAAAAAAAATATCCCAAGCCTTGAACATCTCACGGAGCACTGTTCAATCCGTCATCTGAAAATGGAAAGAGTATGGTACAACTGCAAACCTATCAAGACTTGGCCATCCACCTACACAGACAGGCCGGGCAAGGAGAGCATTCATCAGAGAAGCAGCCATGAAGCCCATGGAAACTTTGGAGGAGATACAGAGCCATAGCTCAGGTGGGAGAATCTGTTCACAGGACAACTATTAGTCGTACACACCACAAATCTGGCCTTTATGGAAGAGTGGCAAGAAGAAAGCCATTGTTGAAAGAAAGCCCTAAGAAGTCCTGTTTGCAGTCTGCTAGAAGCCATGTGGGGACACACTGCAAACACGTGAAAGAAGGTGCTCTGGTCAGCTGAGACCAAAAGTGTACATTTTGGCCTAAAAGCAAAACACTGTGGCGGAAAACTAACACTGCACATCACCCTGAACACACCATCCCCACTGTGAAACATGGTGGTGGCAGCATCATGTTGTGGGGATGCTTTTCTTCAACAGGGGCAGGAAAGCTGCTCAGAGTTGATAGGATTATGGATGGAACCAAATACAGGGCAATCTTAGAAAGAAAACCTACAAAAGACTTGAGACTGGGGAGGTTCACCTTCGAGCAGGACGACCCAAAACATCCAACCAGAGCTACAATGGAAAGGTGTAGAGCAAAGCATATTCATGTGTTAGAATGGCCCACTCAAAGTCCAGACCTAAATCCAATAGAATCTGTGGCAAGACTTTAAAATTGCTTTTCACAGACACTTTCCATCCAATCTGACAGAGCTTGACCTATTTTGGAAAGAATAATGGGCAAAAATGTCCCTCTCTAGATGTGCAAAGCTGGTGGAGACATCCCCAAAAGACTTGCAGCTGAAATTGCAAAGAAAGGTGGCTCTACAAAGTTTCGACTTTGGGGGGCTGAACACAAATGCCGCCACACTTTTCACAATTTGTAAAAACAGTTGAAAACCATTTATCATTTTCCTTCCAATTCACAATTATGTGCCACTTTTTGTTGGTCTAGCACATAAAATCCCAATAAAAACACATTTACATTTTGGTTGTAAAATGACAAAATGTGGAAAATTTCTAGGGGTATGAATACTATTTCAAGGAACTATCTCTGCACAGGAGCATGTCTCACAAGTAAAGGTTGGGGGGTAAATCCCTTGGAGGGCAAGTGGTTAAGGTTGCCTACCCTGCATTAAGGTAAAAAAAAAAAAAAAAATACATTTTATTTCTCTGATGTGTAGAATTTCAAATAAAAATTCATAGAAAAAGAATGTTCTAAGAAAGGCTGTTCATTTTCCTAACAGTAGGTCAAATTGACAGTAATAGGAACATTTTTAAACAGTGAATGTGGTTTTCACTAGGTAAAGTCCATTCACTCCTAAATCAAATGTTAAAAGCAAACAAAACCTTTCAAGTAACAGTCAAATGTTACCAGAACTTTTGTATGAAGAATTTGACCAGCTTTAGGGGCTTGTTTACAAGTGTGGTCATAGGTCAGTAAATGCAGGCAGTTGAGTTGTAATTTGACCATGCCCCATGGATTGCTTTTCAGAGGCAGCAAGCTGCTTGCTACATGTATTAATGAGCCCCCTAGTCTGCTTTATGATAGTTCTTTAACCCCTTCACACCAATGGTACGCAAATTAGCAGTCCCACTGCACTTGGCTTTATGCCGTGAGGCTGATAATTTGCACACCTGTCTTTGTGCTGGGAGCACTCAGAACAGGGTCTCATGGAGGGCCCTGGGTCCCATTTTTACAATCATGACCCGTAACTCCTAATTCCAGGTCACCTGATCACCGTGATAGCCTCTGATTGGCTATCACAGTAATCAGTCACTGAAGCCCACCCGTTTTCTCTCTGGAGGAGAGCGGTATGTAGCATCTCTGTCCTTTGAGGGGGAAAGAAAAAGAAAAAAAAGTTAAAAAAAACCCCCCTAGCTCAAGGTTTGATCTAGTTCAGTGCCAGGGTTAGCGTTTGGGTCAATGTATTTTTAGAAATTATTTTGAGCTGTTCTTTGGTGTTAGGTTATGATAGTAGCAAGAAATATACAGCTAAAATGTAAAAAAAAAATTTTTTTTTTTTTTACTATGTTGGTCCAGTTTTCCTTTGATTTAAAAAATAAATAAAATCAGATATCCATTACCATTTACCACCAAATGAAAGCCCTGAAAGAAAAAAAAAAAACGTGGTATAATTCACCTGGAGGCAAAAAGTAGTTGTGATATGTATGGTTTTGCTAACACGTCAAAGATTTGTTTTACCCTTAGACACAAAGGGGTTAAACATGTTAACCTATAAGAGCCAGTATATTCCCTCACTAATAAAATAGAACCTAAACTTTGCTGTGCAAGTGCTGTCACAAGTCCTGAGACACCAAATGGTAGTATGGTTGGCAATCAGTAAATTTAGTTTGTAAAAAAAAAAATCAGTGATTTTTACAACAGTCTGTAAATATCAGGGGCTAATTTGTCATGCTGTGTTGCCTTTGTAAGGGTAAACCAGTTGAATTACTTGGTATGGGTATTGTCAGTGTCTCCATATTGTGTTTATATTTACATCTTTTTTTGTCATTGGTTTGTCAGTAAAATAAAATGTGCTGCCTCAGTAAAACAAATATTGCATGAGGTTGGCAGCACTGAATGGTAGTTTCTGCATGAGAATGTTTACATATTTTGCTTCCCTACAACATTTTAACCACTTGTTTTGTAAGGCATTTATAGCTGCGGATTCAAGCTTTAATTTTATTTATGTAGAAGAGGGAGGACGACGACGAGGAAGAAACCAGTGTCAATGGCTCACAATACGAAGATGAGGAACTGGCTCGCTCAGGGGCTCCTTGGTTTAAGAAACCTTTAAAGAACATCTCTGTGGTAGATGGGGAACCGGTAAGGTTTACAGTAAAAATAACTGGAGAGCCAAAGCCTGAGGTGACGTGGTGGTTTGAAGGAGAGATGCTACAGGACTCTGAAGACTATCAATATATTGAAAGAGGGGAAACTTACTGCCTTTACCTACCTGAAACCTTCCCAGAGGATGAAGGAGAATATATGTGTAAAGTAGTGAACAGCAGGGGCACCGCTGCAAGCAGCTGCATTCTCAGCATTGAAAGTAAGAGTTAATGCTTTAGGATGTCATTGCACGAGTTCTAACACTTGGCAGGACACACTTATATTCTCTCTTTTCTTGCTTTCTAGCTGATGACTATTAACCTCCTGCTTTTATTGGAGACTTCCCTTTGACTCTCACTGCATCCAGCCTTCCTTCAGTGGGCCAAGGGACACGGGAAACTCTGCTGCACATTAATACGCCATTCCTGTAGTGCTGGCCTCACACTGCATGTGTTGCTGCCGTTGAGTAGAGCTGCTGAACAATGATGCAAGGGCTTTACAGGAAACACCGCATACAGGAAACAGCAGGATTTCATAGTGTATTTAATTGCCTTTATATACTTCTCTTGCTGACTTGATTTTTATAAAACTTTCTTCGGGAAATGAAAAGTGCCGACTTTTAAGATTGACATAAGTGAAATGTAATGTCTTGATTTCTTAATAAATGATTTGTTTAAACTGTCAAGTCATCTCATACATTTATTAAATAAAGTAAAAAAAATAAATAATTGAGACAAAAATTGGAAGCAAGATCATTTGTTTATTCTGTACAATGTTAAATCACAGTTAAAAAAGCTTCACATGAGTCATGCATATGCAGCTGTAAACAATACAGTTATTTGAATGCAATATCCAATTTGAACCTTATACACTTTCCAGGATGTGCAGTACTCAAATAACCAAATCAACCTAAAATCTTAAAAACTAGAAGTTCTTTATTATGTAGTTATCCTGAGCAATAAACATGAACTATTTGGAATCAATCTAACTTTATTACACAATTTTATTTGCACTATAAAAATGAATTCCATAGCTTCTCTGGGAACAAAAAAAAAAAAAAACAAAAAACAAAAGCTTTGCCTCAAGTTATATCTACACTATAGTTCAGAGGTTTTCTGACAAATGTACCATGACCTATTGTGGAGAATGCGTAACCTAACAGGCTGTAAGCTGTACAAACAACCTTACATTTCTCTATGTATTAAATATGCAATATACCACTAATTATAGTTAAAAGAAGATCACCACTAGATAACTAAAGAGTGTTTCCATACAGGAGCTATTTTCAGATAGAGACTTTATTCTGTTTGAAACAATAAAAAAAAAAAAAAAAAAACACACAAGTCAAAATTCTTAATTTTGGATAGTGTGGGAAAGTTAAAAACCAGAATCAGAATTTTAGCACGGTCTCAATTTTTCTTTCTTAAATTGCTGTGTCCACACTGGAGAGAGATTCCCTGCGTTCCTGTCCCAATGAAAAATGCCTCAAGGACAATTTAGGTGGTTTCAATTTTGTCACAGAAAGCAAAAAACTTCAGCAGCCATTAGCTTTCACCACCCTATCCAAAAGAAGAAGAAAAAAGAAAAGTCTGGAGCCAAAAACAAAAAAGCAATATTCTGTATCATTGAAACATCACCCTCATTCCTCCAGGAAAACAGCAGACTATTTTTGGGACATTTCTGACATTTTTATAGGCACACAACTTTGTTAATATTTGTGCACATACAGAATAATGCATTAGTGTTACCTCAATCCTTATGATGGTCGACTAGGATACTGGCTTATGATGGTCGACTAGGATACTGGCTTTAGACAAAGATACAAGGGCCGATCTTCTGAACTCACGGCCACTTATCCGTGGGCATCATTTCACAAAGGGCAGAAATGCATTCACATTTGTGTGACACTCATGTGACAGCACATTTGTCAAAATAAATACCCACAGAACTGATATTTGAACTATTAATAGTTAGCAAGCCACAGCAAAAACTATATATATATATATATAAATATATAACAGGGTTAGTAAATTACGGCATCAGAAAACAAAAAGCTGCATATCATAAAAATAAAGCTATAAAAGCTGCTCAAATCAGACATTTTAAAAAAAAATTGCATTTAACAGAAATCTAGACATTCTAAATCTTCCCAATTTGATTTAATAAGTTTAGCCTAGAGCAATAAAGCAAACCCCCCCCCCCCCCAAAAAAAAACTACCAATTATGAATTTGAAGACAGTCAAAAAGCCCAACCACTGAAAAAATATTATTTTGAACAAAGTGGGAGAGGCTTAGACTGGCATTTTTTTTTTTTTTTTTTTTTTTTTTTTAACTGTTGCCTGGCTCTACTGGGTGGAGATTCCTATTGCTGACACCAGAAGAATGAAGGGTCTGGGGGTTGAAGGGACAAAAAAAAAAAAAAAAAAAAAAAAAATCTAAAAATTTCTTTAAATGGTTAATTCACCTTTCAAAAACTTCCAATGCAGGTAAGGGGTATTTGTAGATAAAATTCTGCAGCTCATGCCCTTGCTATAGGCCATATACATTCCTCCGAAAGCCTGACCGGAATACTCTTCCCAGGACGTTCCCAAGTGAGGAATGGTCCTTACTTGCTTATACCATCACAGGAGTGAGCGTTTTGGATTCAAACCCCCTGAAAAAAGCTGCCACCCCCCCCCCCCCCCACTCTCAGATGCAAAAGCTCTGAAGTCATTTGAGAGCTCGTTCCTGTGATGGTAGAGGTGAGCAGTAACAACTAGGCCCCACTTAGCAATGTCCTGGGAGTATTTCAGTCAGGCTTTGGGAGGTATGTATATGGCCTACACCTACAGCAAGAGAATAATTCAACTTTAAATCAGAGCTGCAGTTTGCTTTTATCTACAGTCGACCCTTATCTGTGCCGGCAATTGTTTGGTAGAAGGTGAACTAACCAATTAAAATTTATTACCATTGGCAACTAGTCATAGGAAGTGTGGGGAAATCAGCTTAATTGCAACACAGACAGCAGTAAAAAAAAGAGCAAAAAAAAAAAAAAAAACCCCAGCTGGGCTCTACCCCTTCCCCACACTTTCTAAAAATAATAAAAAATTATATTATAATAAGAAATCATACTGGGATTGACTACACTTAAAAAAAAAACCCTTTACACTGTAGCATGCCTCAAAACCAGGACAAATGTACAAGCACTCAACATTTCTGTGCTGCAAAGGATACCATCATGTTAAGATGTGGGGGATCTAATTCAACAGACAAAAAGACTTTTATAGCCTGAATCGATTATAAAGCAGTCCTAATAACTCAGTAAATGTTTAAGAAGCACATTTAGGTGCACATAAGATTGCTTAACATATTAAAACTAACCCTGTCACTAGAATAAAAAAAATAAAATAAAAAGCAAAAAGTACCCCCAGCAAAGATGACAGCTCATACTTACGGGTTCATGCACACTACACCAATTAGGTCTGTACACTGCCCAGGTCATCGTGTGGAGCAATTACCTGCAGATCTGAACCCATGGTTGCAGACTGCTCACAACCAGGGATGTATATCTGTTCCTTATTGCAGGTAATCAATCCAAGTATGAGAACAGCTGCAGATAGTCCAACTGGAGAAGTACACTGATGTGGGTTGTGTATGGCTCTCGCCACTGTGCATAAAGGGCCTAACGCTCCTGCACTGCCAACCCCCACTGTACTGCAGACATGTAGCTGCCTGAAGAAGAATCTGACACTTCTGGGAGTACCATATTCTTGGCTTCCCCCTGTGCTGTGGCTCCTCCTGATGGCCCCTACATTGCAAAGGATCATTGTGGGGACTTAGGGTCAAACTGCTGAGCCCATCAGGAGACAAGTAGCAAACATTCTTGAAAGTGTGCCAGATGCTACAGAATCTTAAGGCAGCTCTATCTTTGCAATAAAGTTGGGCTGTGTGGGGGAGAGGCATGAATGAGCTCTCTTCACCGGAGGCACTTTGTCATTTTTATTTTGGTGTCTTTAAACATAAGTCTTTTACAGGAAAGTGGATGCACCCAGTTGAACTGCACGATTTTAGTCACAAAGTACAGAACTTGAAATACACTAAAAACTCCTGAAACGGTTTTCCTTGAATGCTGGCAAAATGAATCACGTCTATACTACATTTATAAGTAAAAATCATCAACACGTTATATGGAAACAGCTGGAATAAGACTTCCGGTACAGAAAATTTAGCATATCAAGGTTTGAAGCGCCACAAGTGTTAAAAAGCTATACATGTATTGCTGCTTTGGGTGTAATACTGCAAACTACCCACTACCTCTGTTCTGCTCATCTACCAGTCAGTCCAGAAGAATTATGAAGATGTACCTGCCTCGAGTCAAGCTTGGACAGAGTGAACCTAACACCAGGTCAGAGGTATCCCTAGGGTAGGTGTCACCCAGTGCGGAAACACTTGGTGACACCCCCTTCAAAAATCCCCGCAGAATGGATCGGATCTGCAGATTGAGCATAATGGATCTGACTCCGATCCATTATGCTCAATCCGCAGATCCGATGCATCCTGTGGGGATCGTCGGATTTCTTTACAACTTACCTTTTCTTGGAGCAGGTCCGGTGTCACCCCGACGAGGCTCGTCGGCATGCAACCTATACGGGGTGACACCGGACCCGCTCCAAGAAAAGGTAAGTTGTAAAGAAAGCCGACGATCCCCGCAGGATGCATCGGATCCATCCTGCGGGAATCGTCGGCTTGCTTTACAAACTTACCTTTTTGTGGAGTGGGTCCGGTGTCACCCCGTGCGGTCACTGCACCAGGTGCATGTGCAAGCTGTGCCCACAAACCAACAATTTCTTGAAAATTAATCACAAATTCTGGGGCTAGGATCCTAGCTTAGAACATTGGTAGATAAGTTTCTGAAATAAAAAATCAAATCCTTAAACCTGCAATTGTGAACTAAACCTAGCGGTTTACTATACAAGAGTGTGTTCTGTATCTAGGCAGTGTAAAACCTCTATGCAAATACGCAACTTGAAAACAGATCAGCTTTTATACATATTACAGTGTAGGAGAGGAAAACACGTCAGTACTCTACTCTGCATTAAAGCATTGGACATGTTAAGTCAGCTACAATAACCATACAACCCGTTACAAGAAAAATACATCACTTCTCAAAATCAGGCTCAACCGGCTAGTTCTATCAACAAAGAAAAGAATTGGCAGAGATATGAACACGGCAGAGTTATGAACACTACAGTGACTAATCTGGAGGGCAAATAAAAGTATAAAAAGTATGACAGATTTTGAGGGCAAATATGTTCCAAAAGCATTGCACATGTTTAGTAAA